ACCGCGCCCGTGAGCACCACAGTCCATCTCATCATGGCTCCTCTCACAACATGGCTGTTGACAGCCCTCGTCGGCCTCGCCAACGGCCTGGCCTCGACCGACACCATCACATGGGGAGGCGACAACTCCCGCGCCGGCTACCAAACGTAAGTTGATGATTCTCTCCTCTTCCGAGCTCCCCCACAAAGCACCCCGGCGCAGATCCGTTGCGCAGTCACAACCGCAGCGCTCCGCCCGGTGGGGGAGACGGAGACAAAGTCTCCATCACGAGAATGCACAGCTCCTAACGCGAATTGATATCAAGAACACACAACATGGACCCCTCCGTGGTAGGGAGCTCCCAGTTCGGCCAGCTGTTCCGGACGCAGCTTCCCGGCAACTACGGCGGCCAACCCGAGCAGATCTTCTCTCAGCCTCTCGTTTACACCCCCAGCGGCGGCGACGGCACACAATACGTCTATGTCGCAACGCAACAGAACAATGTCTACAAACTTAATGCAAAGACCGGCGCCATTGTCGCCTCTCGCAACCTTCACATCCCCTTCCTGACCGCCGACCTCGACGGCTGCGTCGACATCAATCCCCACGTCGGCATCACCGCCACCGGTGTCATTGACCCATCCACCGACACCCTGTACCTGACCTCCAAGACCTACGCCGACCAGACCCAGATCAACGTCGCCCAGGGCCGCCCGGCCGGGCGCTACTACATCCACGCACTGGATGTCAACACCCTCGCGGAACGACCCAACTTCCCCGTCAACTTGGAGGGCACTGTCGCTAGGAACAACCCGATCCGCTCCTTCAACGGCGGCATCCACCACCAACGCCCCGCCCTTCTGAACGTCGGGCAGTTCGTCTATCTTGGTTTCGCCTCCCATTGTGTCCAGTATAACTTCACCGGATGGATCATTGGCTTCGACAAGACGAGCGGTAATCTGGTTGAGCGGTGGGCTACTCAAGGTGACGGTGTTCCTAACACCACCCCCGGCGCCGGCGTCTGGATGTCTGGCGGTGGTCTCGCGTCCGACGATGCCGGCTCCATGTTCTTCGCCACCGGCAACGGTTATGCTTCTCAGCTCAGCACCATCCCCGTCAACGGTCGCCAGCCTCCCACGGCCATGGAGGAGGCTGCTGTCCACATGAGTATCGGAGGTGACGGAAGCTTGACCGTAACCGACTTTTTCATGCCCTGGGAGAAGCAGGCGTTGGACGGTGCCGACAAGGATTTGGGCACCAGTCCTCTGCAGATTCTCCCCAGCGCCTTCGCTTGCGGTGATATTAAGCGCATCGGTGTCGTGACCGGCAAGAGCGGTAAGACATACTGGATCAACCTTGACAACATGGGCGGCTACCGCAACGGTGCCAACCTGTTGGATGCCGTCATTCAGGTCTACCAGAACCAGAACTCGGTTTACGCTGGTGCTGGTGTCTACCCGTTGGAGGGCGGTTACATCTTCATCAATGTCATCAATTACCCCACGAATGTCTTCAAGTTCTCCTGCGACGCTGGAGTCCCGTCATTCACCAAGGTCGCGAACAGCCCCGCCGCCAACGCTGCCATTCTCGGTGTCAGCCACGGCACTGTCACCTCTCTTAACAACCAACCAGGCACCGGTCTCATCTGGACGCTCGACGTCCAGGGTTCTCAACTCAGGATCTATGATGCTGTTCCTAAGAATGGTTTCATGAACCTTATCAAGTCTTTCAGTGTGCCTGGCTCGACCAAGTTCGGCAGGGCTGTCTTTGGTGACGGCATCTTGTACCAGGGCACTACTCTCGGTTACCTCTATGCCTTCGGCTCGCCCGTCAACGTGCCTGTCAACTGCACTTCCTCCAACGATTTCGGCACCGTCAATGTCGGCAACCAGAGTGTGGCGCGCTCGATCTCTTGCACGGCTCTGATCGGCGCCACTGTCACAGACATTGGCCTGGATGAGGCGGACGATTTCGTCATCACCAACGCCGGAACTCTGCCGCTTACCCTCACCGCCGGCCAAACCTTCAACGTCTCCGTCGCCTTCAAGCCCACCACCATTGGCCTGGTCTCTTCCGATCTCCTTATCAACACCACCAATGCTGTCGCTGGCTACAGTCAGAACACTCATGTCAGATTGACCGGTACTGGCGAGAGCTCCAGTCCCCTGCTGGCCGTCACGCCCCCTACTGTCACTTTCGAGGGCATCATCGCTGGATCCAACGGCACTCTCGCGGAAACTGTCATCATCTCCAATCAGGGCAACACTCCTCTGTCCATCACAAACGTCCAGTTTTCTACTACCAGCGCCCAGGGACCCTTTACCACATGGAACCACGAGACTGACGCTCTCACCGTCGGGAAGTTCACTCTGACCAACATTCCTACCACGATTGCACCCAACAGCGCCGTCACTGTAAACATCGCCTTCGACTCTTCAGTGGCTGGAAGCTTTGGTGCCTACCTCACGGTGAACTCTAACGGCGGCAGCAAGTCCTTCACTATTGCAGGCTCCGCCGGCCCTGCTCCTGTCGCCTTGATCGAGTTCCAGACGCCCGATGCCACCGGCTGGGTCCAATACGATGCTAGCAAGAACTTCACCTTCGGCAACGTCACCGAGAATACCTCTAGATCCCTTAAGTTCCGCGTCACCAACAATGCTGCCGCCGGAGGTGTCAACCTCATCCTGACCGTCTCGAAACCGCCTTTCGGTATCCCTGGTATCGTCGGGGCTGCCAACACGGTTGATCTGGCCGAGGGTACCCAGCTTGCCCCCGGTCAGAGTGCCACGGCCACCATGATCTGCTCCGTTCCAAAGTCTCAATGGAACGTCGATACTTATGTGGGATCGGCGCCTTGGACCATGAACACCAACGACCCCAACTTCGAAAAGCATTTCTTCACATTTGTGTGCAACGCCGTGTCCGAGCAAGCCCCGCCTCTCCTGCCTAGCGGCCAGGGCAAATACCGATACATCGGATGCTACAAGGAGAACAACCCTGGCCGCCAGCTCCCCAACCAGCTCGCCGGAGGCACCACGAACACCAACCCCAGCTGTATTGCTAACTGCGCGGCGAAGAACTACGTCTTCTGCGGAACTCAGTACCATACCGAATGTTGGGGCGGCCCCACCATCCCTAGCCTCAAGGTCGACGACAAGAACTGCAACTACGACTGCGGCGGTGACCTCAACCAAGTCTGCGGTGGCAACGGCGTTGGCACCCTCCAGGGTGGCGCTTTCATCTCTGTCTTCGCGGACTCTACCCAATGGGACGGTAACACCACGACGCCCACGCCCAACCCGACCAACCCGACGAATCCTTCTGGTCCAGTCGTCAACCCCGGCGTGGGCCAGTATGTGAGCGCAGGATGCTACACTGAGGGAACAAACAGTCGTGCCCTGCCCAACTTGGTCAATGTTCAGACTCAAACAGTCGGCAGCTGCATCACAGCTTGCGCCGCCAAAGCGTACACATGGATCGGAGTAGAGTATGGAGGAGAGTGTTGGTGCGGTAACACCCTTGCCACCGGCGCTATCCCGGCCCTCGCCGCGGACTGCAGCATGACTTGCAACGGCAACAGCAGCGAATACTGCGGTGGTCCCAACAGACTCAACATGTACACACTCAACGCCTCCTTGCCCGTGCCCAGCAGCTCGAGCAGCACCGCTGCCTCTGGTACTGGTACCGCAACCTCAGCCGGCACTGGTACCGGCACCTCTACGTCAACCTCGGCTGCTGCTACGACCACCGCCGCCAACAGCCGTATCGGCGACTGGCTCTTCCAGGGCTGCTGGACAGAGGGCACAGGCGTTCGCGCTCTCCCGGTCCGCACGTATGCCAATGACTCCATGACTCTGCAATCTTGCAGTGGTTTCTGCCAGGGCCTCAAGTACTTTGGTACCGAGTACGGCCGAGAATGCTGGTGTGGCAATGTCCTGGATGCTACGTCAAAGCAAGCGCCTCTGACGGACTGCTCGTTTCCATGCCCCGGTGACAGCACGCAGAAGTGCGGCGCTGGAAACCGACTCCAACTCTACATGTACTCTCCCGTCGCGTCTTCGTCCACCACCGCGACAACATCTTCGTCCACCGCAGCATCCACCTCATCCAGCAGCTCTGCCGCCTCGGTGACCGTCCAGGACAAGGCCGTGTCCAGTTCTACCTCTTCGACACTTTCAGCGTCTGGCTCGACTATCACCTCTATCTCCAGCAATGCCACTTCCCTTTCGACGAGCACGTCTTCAACTCCTGGACTCATCCCTGCGGCGGTCACATCGACTACGTCGTCGTCCTCATCTTCGACCCTGACATCGTCTTCTAGCTCCTCGGCAACTCAGAGCAGTACGTCCTCGGTCTCGTCTTCGTCTTCCACGTTGACCTCTGCCTCTCTTTCATCGTCCAGCTCCACGGCCGTGTCCAGCTCTACATCGGCTTCTAGCTCCACGTCGACTTCTGGCGTTACGGCAGCTGCTGTCTCAACGACATCTTCCAGCTCCTCGACCGGCTCGAGCTCATCTTCCGCCTCCAGTTCTGCGACAAGCTTCAGCTCTTCTACAGCTTCAAGCTCCTCAAGCTCCAGCTCCTCTACGGTCTCTAGCTCTTCTTCATCCTCTAGCTCGTCTTCCTCCATCTTCTCTGCTGCTTCGGTCTCCTCCACGGCCACTAGCTCCTCTTCGAGCTCCAGCTCCCAGGCTTCCTCCAGCTCCTGGACAAGCTCTAGCTCTTCCTCACCCTCAAGCTCGTCTTCCGCCTCAAGCACCCTGACAAGCTCCAGCTCGTCTGCATCCTCGAGCTCCACGGCGACTTCCTCCTCCCTCATAACCTCCTCTTCCTCCTCTTCCTCGACCTCGACCTTCAAGTCGAGCTCCTCAAGCACCTCTTCGAGCACCTCCTCCGCGAAGCCGACCCCGACAGGCCCCGTCATCGTCCCAGGCGACCAGAACTTCACCTACTATGGCTGCTTCTCCGAGCCCCAAGTCGGCCGTCTCCTCCCCACACAAGTCGTCAACGACGGCGTCAACATGACCATCAATAAGTGCCTCAGCGCCTGCTCCGACAAGCTCTACGCCGGTGTCGAGTACGGCCGCGAGTGTTGGTGCGGTAACTCCCTCAACTACGGCGGCAGCGGCGGCACCACCATGGCCGCGAACGTGTCCAACTCGGACTGCTCCTTCAAGTGTCCAGGCAACAGCACACAATACTGCGGCGCGGGAGTGAGGCTCAACCTCTACATCCTCCGAACGGAGTACGCGAGGTTGCAGAACCTGGCCGGCACCTCGCCCTAAGAAGAGAGATGGTGACACCGGCCGCCAGGTTTCCTTTAATGTGATAATGTATACACCTTAGATTTATAGACTAGTCATACGGGCTTTGCTCGGGAAAACGGGAGCAGCCTATTTTTACGTAATCTTGATACCTCTCTTTTTTCTTCTTCAAATTTGGCCTCTCCTGGAAAGGCAGTTTCTGTGAGCTAATTGATTTGATGTCTGCGGTACGAGCTTCCGCGCGCGGATATAAAGGGCCGGGCTACCATGCACGACTCATGTCATCGCTTTCTAGGCCTGCATAGCCTTCGCCGTCGCACCAATGCTTTGGATGAACTAGAATTCGGGCGTTGAACCACATGTCCGGGCTCTTCGGCATGATCCGACCGACGCTGAGCGAGGCTTTAGATGTCGTCGCAGAAGGGAAGTTTGTGGTGCAGTGGGGGATAAGTTGAAGATATAATAACCCCCGGGTCAGTGCCTCTCACTAATTCGTCAAGATAGACCCCGTTTTGAAATCTGCGAGCCGACTTTGAACACTTCACTGCGACCGGCTCGATGTAGGAGCGGCTTATGTGCAAAGCCCGGCCGAATCGTCTGGTAGTGTCGATCGTGGGGACCTGCCATCCCATCTCTCCGTTCATCTGATCTCCCTTCGCAACCTACGCAGCGCAACTCAATCTCAACGACCCTCCATCAAAAACCACAACCTCCCCCCCCAAACGGATGCATCTCCAGTATTCGAGGGCGGGCAAGGGAGGCGGTGCGACGCGGATAGTACGGGGAGTTCGAGCGGGTATTGTATTCGTGAGGATGGGTTTGATACGGCGCATTTTCAGGCTTGATGGGGGTGAAGGATGATCCGGGAGGATGACGGTGGGAAAGGATGAAAGAGTCTCGCCTATGACGGAGACTTGCCATTGGAAGAGACGCGCCGGAAGCGATTCCGGGCTGCACTACGGTGATCGAGGACGCCTCTGGAAGAAGCTTCAAGCTCCAAGGATGCCACAATTGTACACACTCAATGAATCTCAGTACATACGCCAATCATGACTCCATCAAAGCTCCATCCCCAAAGAGACCGGCGTTAAAGTTTCCCCGATGGAGAGTGTCCCGGCTTGGCATCAAGAAAGATAAGCGGCGCCACCTCGTCCTATGCTCCCCTCTAATGCTCCGAAGACCTCGCAAGCATCAGTCCACTTGCACACGTCCCAGCGCCGTGGTTCGCGCCGTCGCCAATGCCATTGTCCGCCTAGACCGGGTCTAGTCCTGTCTCTGCGCCAAGTCCGCTGCGCCTAGCGTCACTCGGCAGGTCGTTGCCCAGTGCGGACCCCGGCGACCTCGTGGTCGAGGGCCTTGAAAGAGAAGCCAGAGCCTCTTAGTCGGTTATTTCGTCAAGCTTTCTTTACGAAGTGAGACAAGCTCCGTTGAAGATGCCGAATGCGGGATGTTCGCCCTCCCGGAAGCGGCGTCGTCTGGCCCGGGGTGGGAGGCGGGCTACTTCTTGGTGTTGGTCAAAGCACCAACTCGGTGGGATAAGCGCGGATGTCTTGGATGGGTGTCTCTCGTGGCACAAAGAAGACCATGGTCCGTTGTGGCGGTTGAATTATTGAATACCGGTGGCTCCGTTCTGAGAGAATGGGCGAGAATTACGGGGATTTCATATAAGAAGAGAAGAGAGAGCCATTGAAACACAACATTCCAACAACTAAGAGCATCGACTCGCTTCATCACATTCCTTCTCCAAAGGTCTTACCCAACCACATTCTCTCCATCGACCATGGGTTTCAACCAGCTCTCATTCCTTCTCTCATCCACCCTCTTTCTCCAAGCCCTCGCGGCCCCGGCAAACAACGCCCGAGCCGCAACCCCGTCGGTAACAATCGCCTCCGGCGTCGTCGTCGGCGCCACCTCAGCCCCCGGCGCAAACACATACCTCGGAATCCCCTTCGCCAAGTCGCCCCCGGAGCGGTTCTCCCCTCCCCAGGCCCCGGCATCATGGTCCACCCCGCTCACCGCGACGGCCTTCAAGCCCGCCTGCATCCAGCAGTTCTCCGACAGCGGCAACGCCCAGACCCTCCAGAAGGCCATCTTTGGTAACCCAACCGGGCCCCTGACGGCTGAGAGCGAGGACTGCCTCTACCTCAACGTCTTCACGCCGCCCACCGCGACCCCGACCTCCAAGAAGGCCGTCATGTTCTGGATCTTCCCGGGTAACCTCCAGTTCGGCACCGCAAGCCTGCCCATCTACGACGGCAGCACCCTCGCTGTTTCCCAGGACGTCGTTGTCGTCACCATCAACTACCGCACCAACATCTTCGGCTTCTCCAACTCCCCCGAGGTCGCCACGGGCTCCCAGAACGCCGGCTACCTCGACCAGCGCTTCGCCCTGCAGTGGGTCCAAGACAACATCGCGTCCTTCGGCGGCGACCCCAAGCGCGTCACCATCTTTGGCGAGTCCGCCGGCGGCGAGTCCGTGAAGCAGCTCCTCGCGAACCCGCCATCCCCGCTGCCCTTCGCCGCGGCCATCATGGAGTCCCAGCAGAGCCTGCTCCTCGGCTCCGGCCTCGACAGCTACAACAAGGTCCTCAAGCAGTTCTCCTGCGCTGACATCGCCTGCCTGCGCAAGGTGGACGCCACCGCGATCAAGGCCTACATCGAGTCCGCCGCGCTCGTCTTCCCGCCCGTCGCCGGCGACGGCACCGCGACCAAGGACGTGCGCCCCAGCATCTCCGGCAAGACGTGGCCCAAGATCCCGGTCATGATCGGCACCACCCTCAACGAGGCGCGCGCCTTTCTTGCGGTTGACGGGATGAACGACGGCAGCGGCGCGATGAGCGACGCGCTCTCCATGGTCGGCATCACCGACGCCGCGACCAAGAACTCGATCCTCGCCAAGTACGCCCTCCAGGGCTTCAACGACCCGTACACCCTCGCGGACCGCATCATCACCGACGCCGTCTTCACCTGCACGACGTCCACGCTCGCGTCATACCTGGCCTCCAACGGGTACACGGCGTACCGCTACCGCTACGACCCGTCCTTCACGTCGACGAGCATCTTCGCGAACGCGGGCTCGTACCACACGAGCGAGATCCCGTCGGTTTTCGGGACGTACGGGCAGTACGCCAAGTGGGGCGCCGCGTCGGCGCAGCAGACCAAGTTGAGCTCGTGGATGCAAGGCGTCTGGGGCGGGTTCGCGAAGAACCCGGCCGGCGGCGTGGGGTGGACCAAGGTGGGCGGCTCATTGTTGGGCATGGATTTGGGGTTGATTGGGTCTGGGTCGTCGACGGGGGTGACGCCGGTGTCGTCGCTTTTGACGGCGGATTATATCTGTCCTTTGTACTATGGGCTGGAGGACGCGCTGGGCTTTTCGTGGTAGTTTTGCGTAGACTTGAGTGGGTGTGTTTCTTGTTTTCAGCGATTAAAAGTAAGGCCTTTCACTAGTATAATGTTTAACATCGAGTCGATATAATCAAACAATCTTTTCAATAATTTTAATACCCCCCTTTTGACCCCAGCACAACGTTCGGCTCCGGGTGCGCCAAGGTGGGGCCGTTAAGGTCGTCCGGGTGGGTCCTAACTTGCGGATGCAATCGCGCTCGCCGTTGAAACACAAGCTGGAGTGAAAATTCACTACCTAAGTAGCGATTGAAGGAAACTGCTTCATGGCCCATATTATCCTCTTCAAAGTTTCACCTCCAAGATCGCGCTCTAGATTGCCGAGAGAAATAATAGGGAATTATTTAATTTAACTACTCTCTTACTCCTCCCGTGTGACTGAGAGCTCAAGGCAGACGCAAATCCTTCCTTCCATCGATTCTTACGGCTTCTTGACATATTCTATGACAATAATTGAACGGTCCTTCCACGCAGTGAATTCCACGCCAGTACATCCTAAGACTTAGGTTCACCCAGCTGGCAGCACCTTCTCTACCCAACATTACCCCACCTCGTCAGCATACACCAGGCCCCATCAACTACAGCTTCTTCACCTACAACGCCTTCAACCAAACACCTTCATCGACACAATCAAGGCACACACTCAATACACAATCATATTTTACAAGATCACAACATCTCAACACCTATCAACATGCAGCTCAGCACTACCATTCTGGCAGCGGCCGCTGCCAGCCTCACCAGTCCCGTCGCACCTCCCTCGCCGAGCTCTGTCCCTTCCTCTATCATTCTCATTACTACAACAGCCAATAGCTTCAATGGCTCTGCCAACGCCAGTCTCCCCCTCAAGCACGGCCCTAGCAATCATCTCCTCACCAGCAACCACAACTTCTCCAAGACCTGCACCAACATCCACGGTGACTTCATCGACACTATCGTCTGGGCCTGCTGTAGCAACACGAACGGCAGCTGGTCCCAGAACCGCTTCCGTCTCGGCCAGTGCCTCGAGAACCGCCGCAGCAAGCTCGTCGCCCGTCGCGACGGCCGCTTCTGGCGCACCTGCCAGGACTGTGGCTTCAAGGACCCGGACAGGGCCACGGTATATAGCTGCCGCTGCTGGCCAAAGCCGACTGCTGGGGTTGAGCATAAGTTTGTGGACACGGAGATTGACTTGGTAGGCACCCTTTCCATCTCCGACTTCTATCTGGCTAACGAATGGTCTAGGATACCTTCATGGGCAATGAGCGGGGTGAGCTGGTATGCTTTGGAGTCAAGGAGAGACACCGCCACGAGGAGTGCCAGCCCTGAAAGCATTCATTCGGTATGGAATTTCCACAGGAATGGTTGCGAATATCACGCCAGTTGAGGCAAATTTCACGGGCGCATGGAGTATAACATTATTTCGGTAGCAGCAAACACAATCTTAAATCAAGATCCATTAGTTCCTTGTTTTCAGCCGAGTTTGCGATGTATCGATCGACTCAGATGCCTTGCGTCGGTTCAGCCTCCTTCACTTTGACAAACGCTTCGTAGAAGTCCGATGGATCCTGAGCGCCATCCAACCGGTGGACTCCTTGAATAACAAAGGTCGGAACACCCGAGCCGCCAGCTAGCTCACGGGTCTTTATCTCTTCCTCGTTGACTTCATCAAGACCCTTCGTGGATTGGAGAAACTTTTCCACATCTACACCACTCATACCAGCGCCAGTCGCAACATTTTGAAGAATTCTGATGTCAGAAATGTCCTGCTCAAGCTCATGATACGCCGCAAAGAGGCCATCGATCAGTGCATTTTGCACACTGGTGTCTTCGGACCGGCTCAGACGCACAAGTCGATGCGCATCACGCGTGTCAGGGCCGATCTTGCCTCCCCACCTGAAGTTGACGCCGATAGAGCGGCCAATCTGCTCCATTCGCTGTGTCAATGCAGCCTGCCTCTCTGGCGACATGTCACTCAACCTGACTTTCGCCACCTCGCTCTTATCGACGCTGTGAGGATGTGGGTTATAGTGCAGATAGTACGGCTTCCACGTGATAGAGAAGGTGTCGTTCTTTCCACCTGGGTAGGCCTTTTGGTAAAGAGTGATGGCGTGGTCTACTTTGCGCTTGCCAATGTAGCACCACTGAGAATCGGTCAGTACGGTGAGTTGGGTGAAGGTCAGGACGTGTTGATTGATCACTTACCGCGCAGACAAAGTCAAAAGCCACTTCAATTGCGATGATCGTCATGTTCAGCAAGGCATTTGATGGCTATGCTCATCTGGCTTGGGTGTTTTCGTAAGCACAGAAAGTTGGAGAAGGTAGGTTATCTGGAAACAAAAATGACTTGCCGCGAACCAACCACATGGCGGAATCCCGCCAACCGAAATGCACTAGCCAAGTGAATACTCTCGTCAACAGCTTTTGGAGTCTTGGATTTCGCCAGTCTCGCAGGCCGAATGGTAGGCGAGAAAGGGTTGTCTTCATCAGCGCATAGATTGATTGATGCCTTCTTCAAGATGTGAAGCCAAGCGGATTTGTTTGCATCTTTTGCTCAAACGACTGCAGAGATTGATCAAAGCTATGCAGTGACTCATGGGGCCTTCGGCCGTGCACGAGAGCGCCTGATTCGTGATTTGAATCGCCTCATCTTGAACCCCCTATTGATCCGTACGAATGAACAAGCTTCCGAGAAGGGACCCAAGCTGGCTGAGGAGCTGCGTTCGATAGGCAACTCGGAGTTCTGTCGCCTTTGTGGCTTCGATAGCCCTCTCGAGATATTCCGGAAGGCCAGTTTGGGAGTATCAATCATTGTACTTCAATTGAATCTGTCCCAGCATGAAACCCGTTTAATTCTTTCCGGTTTAATTCTCAGCGATCTATATGACGAGGCGGGTTTCTCGGGAAGCATTCTCTACGTCTTTGATGTCATCTGTAGAGGCTCTTGTAATTGCGAACGCCAGCCGAGAGTTTCTGCATAGCTATTTTAGGATGGCTTGCATAGGCGATCTCCAGTGTCATGTTTTGAGCCTCCCGACCGATTGTTAGAGCCATTCCTAGCGAGCGGGGGGGCCTCTACAAAGAATTTAATATTGTGGGAAAGAGTGTACTTTCAGCTTCAATCAAAAGATCCGGATACAACTGCTCTTTGCCGGCTTGCTCGATGGATATACACGTCAGTCCATTTTGTGATCAAGACTAGAGGGACTACCGGAAGGGACTGGAAGATTGATAAATGACAACGTCCCCGACTATTGCTTACATGACATTTGGGTGTCATATGCTGTAGTCATGCGTTTGACTGGCTGTTCGGGCGGGCGGTAGCTACGGACGATGAGTGTGATCACAATGAACAAGGCCTCGGCGGTAATGATAAGGACGATAATAAAGGTGATCTAGTATCAACATTGCATGTGACTTCACCTAACTGGAAGCGGCCAAGACACTGGCTATTTCCGGAACAGATGCGAAGATGGCAGATCTAAGATTCCAGATCGTTTCTAGATCGCCTGAGTGGCGGCGAACCCATGTACGAGGTGCCGCTAACGGCTTCAGATTCCTTTGATGTATGACGAACGGACAAGATGGTCTACCATAATACAGGCTGGCCACCCCCATTTCCGCTTCTTTATTCACGTCTTCGACACAGAATTTCGAGCCTCTCGCTTATTCTTTGTCGCGGTCGGCTCCATGCTGGAGATTCCCTGTTCATCCATTTTTGTTGGTCGCAATATCACCCATCTCAGTCCATATCGACGTCAGCTATCAGGCCCTGATCGGCCCAATTATGTCTACGGACGTTTTGACAATCTACTCTACTGTAATATCATTTCGCAGCCGACATCAAGTTCTCTACCATGCATCCATCAAGATCCAGTGTTGATGGCCAGGACAGTGATAATGATTCTGGCATCGTCATCGGAGTATCTGTGGCAATCATGACGATATCATCAGTAGTGGTGGGGATGCGCATGTTATCAAGGAGCTTAATTAGACAACGAGGTTGGGATGATTGGGCGGCCGTCACATCACTGGTAAGCATATCTGCTTAACGACTGGCTAGAATCCCTCAATCTCACTGTTGTATAGTTATTCATTGTCGGGTGTGCAACATCGATGATCATCAGTAGGCTGCCAGCAATCATTACGCCGTCATTATCCATGCTTACCTGGAAAAGTGACGAGATATGGCCTTGGGAGGCACGAATCCACCCTCTCGGTTGAGACGCTCATACAGTTTCATAAGGTTTACTCAAACCCTACCTCGCCCTAGGCCGACGCCATGACTGACATTTTCTAAAGACCTTTTTCATATCCTTGTTGCTTTACTTTTTGTCTATCATCTTCATCAAGATGACGTTCCTGCTACAGTACTATCGCCTCATGGAGGTCTCCAGAATGCGGCATGTTGTGGTGGGCTGCATGATTCTGATCGTCCTATGGGCTGTGTCTCAAATCCTTGTCGCTTTCTTACAATGCATACCCCTCGAGGCAGTATGGAACCCGAGAGTTGAAAGCAAGTGCGTTGGGAATATTGCTGCTGTGTGGTATTTTAATGGCATCTTCAACGTCGTCACGGACTTCATGATCATAACGCTGCCAATACCAAAAATATGGCAACTTCAAATGCCGCGCATGCAAAAGATAATTCTTGTCGGAGTTTTCATGTTAGGTTTCTTGTGAGTAATTTACTTCGTCAAAGCAGCTTTCGCTGACCTGCTACAGTACAATCGCCATTTCCATTCTGCGGATTCAATGGCTTAGTCCAAAGCCCTATCAAACGTGGTGGAATGTCAAGCCAGCGATGTGGTCGCTAGCTGAGATCACCTGTGGTATTCTTTGCGCTTGTCTGCCGGTATTGAAACCTTTGATATCGCGAGCGAAGCCTCTGATCAAACCACGGTTGAGCCGCGGCTCACAGGATGGTACCCCGTAGATAGTATCATCGGAGCGAAAAGGAAATGTGTATCTGAAGAAAGAATGGTAGGCATCTACTAAATATGCGAACTTAATATATATCCACGATGAGAGCTTTCCCAGAAGCTGCTGACGCCATAGCTATGTTGACGCTACTGAGACAGTCCACGATCAGCGTCAAGGGGATCATTCCGATCACTGGGGTAGTCAAAGCGAATTTATCTCCACTTCGACAATGGGGTGGGTTGGGCAAGGATCATTTGCTTGGTCCACCCGTGGCACTTTTCGACTGAAACAACTTTTTGTTGGCTGGCCTTTCCACTTCCATCGTTACTCCAGATCTTTTGGATACGGCTGCAGGAATGACCGTTGAGTCCAGGCAGTCCAACTTGCGGTGTATCTCTGCCAAGCGCCAAGATCTATTTGAGGAACCCCTCACCTGTGGGATGAATACTCAATAGCGAATGGCTTTCCCTAGCGGACACACAGAATATGCTTCGCGAAGTCACAATCACGGATACGGTACCCATTCTGCACTCTTATTCCTCTTGCTTGCTTACTGCCTAGCCTGTTAAGAGTCCTGCTCTCCGTCACCTCAAAGATCTATCATTTTCTCCCAGCCTTGCCAAAAGCTGCAAGTGCCCCTTGGAAGTGACAGGGATCTCATGCAGTAAGACGCCGACTTAGGAAGTGCTCTTACATATTGCGCGCAAAGCGAGCCAAACAGAAGCCCGCCAAGTTGCTTTTGATCCAACCGAGCACCGTCAATTTACCTTGCCCCATTCCTGCCGCACATTTAACTGATAGCTCAGAATTGGTGCCACGCATTTAATGCGGCTGGGTCCCGCCCAGCTTTTGGCAAGAAATCCAGCACCGCGTGGTTCGTCCGGTTGCTGTTTGAATTTGCCGCATTTCCGGAGGCATGGCAATGCACGGGCAAGAGCCGTCCTCGGCGACCGAACGTAACGTGTCTGCAATTGCGGCAAACAAGTCGGCATACTGGGACGTGAGTGAAGTGCCAGCAGAGACTGAAGGTGACTTCCCAAGGTTCACCCATCGTAAGTCAATGCCTAAAAACGCGACGAGTAATTGGCATCTCACTCACTGGTGATAGGCAAGGTCAGCGATACGTTCAGTCCAAACGAAAGCCAGATCAGCACCTGGGTAGATGCACCCAACCAAGAGACTCATGCTTCCTTTGGAGATAATGGGGTGACTGCTACGGTTAATGCATGCGGAGATCTCATGCAATTCAGCCGCTACCTGGAAGCTGGTAGTTCGGGGATCTTCTGTGCAGACCACATGAATACAAATGAGCCCTATTCCGTACAGGAAAGGGCCGAGGATCTGTTGTTCCTATCCCGGGACAAATCTCGACAGAGATGTACCTATGGACTGCGGATTCTAGATTTCAGCATGAAGAATTGTCGTCACCTGGGCTACGTCCACGATAGGTGGCCCCGGTACGAAGTCGAAGACAAGAATCTCAGGCTTACAATACAATGGATGGTTCACGAGAAGACTGTTTTGCAAGAATGCATAATCACCAATATCGGAGAAACTGATATAGACGTAACAATGGAGTTTGGGAAAGGATTACACATTCGGGATATGGACTACCTGGATCCTGTGGACAAATTCAATGACGATTGGGACGGACACGTTCCAGTTCACGGCCCAAACAACTACGGATGGATCTTGGCTCATCCTCTGAAGCCAAAAGGGACGACAGAAGAAAAGAGGCCGACCAAAGACTCATCGCCGATGCAGCTCATGCGTCTTACCTCTCGCAAGCCTACAAACGCTACCATTGACAGCTACAAGGATATGTGGGGAACTTCCGGGAATGTCAAATCACCACATGTTGACAACGATGAGAACCAAGACACGATTGCGGTCGCTATATCGGTATTCGTGGATGGTAGTGCTATTCGTTTTGAATCCCCTAACCAAAAGCCTCCCGAGAGGCTAGTGAAGACGATCAGACATGGGACCTCAATTGAGGTTGTTAGCGCCTACAAGATGGTGCGTCTCACTGGCTCTAAAGCTTCTTGGTACGAATTCATGATCCCTGCCGATGTAGCAGACGTGAGCAAGCATTTACACTCTGCATCGAAGCTATTTACGGCATTCTCACCCTGTTCGTATGAACCCAGCGGAGAAGGTCATGGACAGAAAGAGGGGGATAGAAGCAGACAGAAGATGAGAAACTGGACTGCATTGGTGCCTGGAGGCCCGCCCAGAGGCTTGCTGGAGATCAAAGACCAGTCAGTGAACCAATCGCTCAACCACATTGACTTTGTGGCTCGCCGAAAGCTTGAGCACATTTTGTCTGTTTGTGCCATTCCGTTGAGAGACCCGGAGGACGAAAAAGACATTGTGCCGGTGGCATTGACGTGTGGGGATACGTCGGGCCATCGTGTGTCTTCCGCCGCAAGTTTGTAAGAAATTTGCTCTCACCAAGCACTACTCCTTCAGTAAAGACACTATCGCTAACTCGCCGCAGTTTTGCATTCAGTTTTCTACTTGAAATAGCTAAGAGGTTGACGGCCATCGAGAACAAAGAACCGCAAGATAGGTATGATGAGCTGCGGCGCCGAATTTACTTGGTTTGTCGCGGCCACTTGATGTGGCTCGGCTTAGTTGATAAAACCGAGTCGAATTGCTTCTTAGCAAACTATTGGGTGAAAGGGAAAAAAATGCCGCGTAACGAAGAAAGACCTAGAGACGAGGAAAGCGAGTCATTCATGCCCATCGATTCCCTGACCGACACCCCATTTCAAATTATCAAGGTGTTTGGTTTTGCGAGTCAATACCAAAGCGAGAACGACTTGGAAATGGCGCGAAAGCTCATAAAGGAGGTGGCCATGCCTTGGATTATGGATCTCAACAAGTCCGACGTGCGCGTTTCCCGCGCTTGGCCACATTCGCAAGACGAAGGGTGCAATAAGTACAGACTCAGCGAACATGTATGGGTTTGGAGAGCATTAAAGTTGATTGAGGGTCACTTCCGAGACTTCCCAGAAGACAAAAGTCCAGAATTCGAAGATGAGAAAGTAGGCGGAGAAGCCTATCGTGGACAAAGCAAAGAGGGTCGAGACGTCATCACAGGTCAACATGATGAGGTTTTGACAGACGAAAACCTACTCAGAAGATTCAACTCTCGCGATGTTCAACGAGATATTCTCAGACGGTTCACAGCCGAGAACGAAATGTCGAAGAAACGAATGCTGGCAATGACTCGATCTCCCAGAGAGACGCGATTCCTATTCCATGCCAGTGATACGGCACTTTTCTATGGCACCAATAGGGATTTCTTCTTGGAGAAAGCTTCGCTCAACGAAGTATGGGAAAACACCATCGAGGCGCAGGTTCACCACAATGAGAACTCCGAAACTGGTTGGGACAACTCGATTCGCTATGCCCTAGCGGTCATGCTTGGGACCAGAGACATTAGCATAAACAAGCGGCCTCCACAAGAGCTGATCAAGTCGTCCTTGGAAGTTCTATTTGGGTCCACGGGTCCGAACGGATTATTTTACGGGCTGTTGGACAGCACAACGAAAGAACCAGCCTCATTCGGCAGAGAAAACGACCGGGATTTCTACTTTCACGCCAGCTTCGAAATCCCTTTCATTCTCCTTACTCATTGCTGGAAAATCTACTCGAAACTCAACGCGTCTGACAAACCGCCTGAGCCTCCTTCCATCCTGCAGCCGAAGACATCCACGACTCATGATCTCTTGGAAGAAGTCGTAGACTTGAATTTGATGCAACCGAAAAGACAGCCTGCACAGACCGAGACAGAGGTCGGGTCCATGGCGCCGCATAGAGCGGCCAAGCTCAAAGCATCTAAAGCGATATCTATGAAGAAAAGCATTCCCTTTAACAGTCTCATTGATCAAAGCAGTATTGTTGATCTGGATGAAGAATGGCTTTACAATTATCCCACCTTTTTTTTCACCGAAAGGCAAACCTCTGAAAAGTTCAATAAAGAGGTAGAGAAGCTCCAGGAGCTTATTGAGATGGATACCTCTGGAGCGCTTATTACTAAGGCAGCTCATGACTACACGATGCTGTTGAGTATAGCGTCGCGGCGCCAGCGGAGTCGTCCTCCAAAGAGAAGTCCTGAAGACCCTTTAGAGCTTCTGAGTAGGAGTTGGGCAGATATCCCACCCCCAAACCCGATAAATGCGCTTGAGGATAAATCGGATAATATGGCGTTTGTCGCCGATGTCATGCGGCAAAAGAACCTCCAGAAGCATGAGAGAGATGACAACATTACCTTCCGGGGAGTTAATAGTAACTACAAGCTCTGGTATCTACTATCCCTACCGCGAACAGCGTCCAAAGCCAAGAAAAGATTCATCTGGCTTCCAGCAGTCGACTATGAGAGAGCCCTTGTTTGTTTCATCACGAGCAACACAGTAGAAGAAAGGCAAGCCATCTCTCTTTTCTTTGAACGTCATTCTCAATATGAAAAACATTTTCTTGATGAGACTTCAATGGTTCTCAACACTTGGGAAAGTGAGTTTCATCTTAGTTTCTACAAACTTGTGGATGAGAACTATGAGTCTGCTGTTGGAATCCCGAAGGAAATCGTCGATGACTTTCCAGGCAGTGACCCCAGCGACCCGAAGAGACTTGTGAGAGCTTCCGTTGGGTTTCGTTTTATCGGAGATTTCTTTGACAGACACTGGACATGCCATCTGATTGAGTACATACCCGGCGGTAAACCCATTCCAACTTATTGGATCAGGGAAAAGCATGAAAGGCAGTTTCCATGGGGTGACCAAGGGCACCTCGTGCAGGATAACAATTGCTGGAGACAGAGAAAGGTCCTGGAGTTGCATCTGTTTGATAGGATCCTGGAGGAGCTTGTCGACAGCACCAAGACGATCTTCGAAACTATAAAAGGGGAACTTGGGGTGGAGCATGGCGCCATTCCATTCTCCGTTCTCAACAGCGAAGACTATTTTTCTTCCAGCGAACAATGGCAAAGATTTCAGCAGATTCTCCAGGCCTTGGATGAGGATTTATCAGACATGCGGGTCACCATTTCCAAATGGGAGACGCGTGAGAAAGACCGGGGCCAGGAGCGACCACGCTGGACACGCACAGATGAGAGGAAATATCGTCGGTATATCGGGAAGCTTGAAGGAACCACACGTCGACGCATTCGAGACCTGAATCGCTTACACGGCCAAATTCAATCACTGAAAGAAACATTAAGAAGAGGTCAGCAGCAAATTCGCGACGATCTCAACCTTCGTGGATCAGAGAATATCCGATTCTTTACCTACGTCACGGTCGTATTCCTGCCACTGGGCTTCGCGTCTAGTATTTTTGGCATGAGCGAAGAACCGCCCAGTAGTGTTATACCTCCGATGATTGTTTGTTCTGCTGTTGCGCTGCTTGTTACCGTTGTTGCGTTGGCTAATGCTAAGCGATTAAATGGAGTTGTTGAAGACATTTCGGAACAGATCAACAATTACTCTTTGTTGAAGATGGAGAGAAGCCCTTTAATTAACCGCGATCGACGGAATGAGATGAAAAAGGAAAATCTTACAAGGCAAGCCGAAGAGGCCGGCTCTGAGACTTCTGAGGGCCACTCAAAGGGCATCAATATGCAAGCAACCCGTGGAATCCGAGCTCACGAAGACGAACAATCATGGCATTTTTGGTTCTGGGTAGGATACCTTTTCGTTGAGCTGCCAGCACGCAGAGTCTTGATGGCATACTACGACCTGACGCATCCAAAAGTCACGCATTGGAGCATGTACTTCCGTTTGGTCATGGGCATACTTCTTCTGCCAATCTTCCTTGTCTCTTTCTTTCTTCAATTGGTGTTGATCAATACCTTCGATGCAGCGCGGAGTATCCTGAGTGAGTACAGCAATATTTACATGTCCCTTCATCAGACGTTGCTAACACGGAGGAGGACATTTGGAGAGGCTTGTAGAGTCAAGTCTGAGGGAAAACGAAGAGAATAAAAAGTTCGTGGACGGTCACATGGGCAGGCTTGCCTATCCTATGAAACGGTATCGACCGTACAGAAGAACCAAGGGCGACACATCCGAGACACCAACGGAACAAAAGCACACGCCACAAAGCTCATACGGAGATGGAACCTCGCACTACAGCGGGAAATAGAGTAACACCAGGGAGGTCGCATCATCAAGCATCTTATGAGGTCATCGTATCGTGTCATCTCCTTTACCGAAGTTGAAATAGGAAACTTATCACCTCAGCTAAGTATGAAGCTGGTAGCTTATTCCGGAATGTCAGCTCTTGATGTCACTGTTTCGCTCCCTTTTCCAAATAGGTTGAGTAATATACTCAATTCGGGATGGCATATTTGCGTAGGTGTCAATTTAAGCACAGCTCAAGGAAATCCCACCGGCATAGCTTGAACTGATCGAGGCTGTATCGCTAGGCTTCATTTATTGATAAACAAACATTGTCGCAACATTTAATGGATCATGCCATGATCAAGATGAACGCAGCTGGTGTATTAAGCCCACTGCAACGGGACAATGAATCCTAGTTTGAAGGCTTTCTGCCATAAACCACATGACTGATGATATACTACGTTAGCAAATGATGCGAGGTTGATGCAAGGTAAGATCTTATACTCACAACTCCATGCGAGCGTGGAAGGAGTTAGATTTCAATTCATTGCGAACCTTGGCAAGCATGACGATGCACTCATCGCGAGTCCATCCCAAGACATCGCAGAAGATTCTGAAAGTAAATGCCTCTGCGCCGTCCATCAATTGAATTAGATTGATAATTCCGAGCTCCTTGTAATGAGGGTCCTTGGGCCATGGTCCAATGGGCAGTTTGAACCGCTGATGCACGACGTCGGCGAAGCCAGCGTCCTTGACCCATCCTTCCAGATGAGGCCCGGGGCATGCGTTGCGGCCTATCTTTTCGCAAGCTTTAATAAATCCTTGTACCCATTTCATGGTCTCATGCTCTTTTGTAAGGCTGCCGTCGTCGGAGACGAAGCTCAGGTCGTAATCCTGGAACTCGACCCATCCACCCTCCTTTGTGTTCCTAGGCATGATGAGAAACAAGCATCCACTATCTCAACCGCTCATACTTACTCGTAGACCCGTTCCATCAGCTTCGGCCAGTCTGCAATGGCACCAAGCATGTACCTGCAGAAGATGAAGTCAAATCCGTTCAAGCCGAGCCAAGGGCTTTCAACGTCATCGACCTCAAAATGAACATTAGGCGGAACCCTGTATTTATGATAAACCAATGATTTCGTTTGGCAAGGTGTATAGGACAAAACCTACCAAGTTGGTTGAATAGCACTCAGATCATTCCCGGTGATCTACCAGACCGGGCAGTCAGTTCATGTTGGAAAGAAGGTCTTGGAACATAGGTCTCGGCTGAGGTATATGTAGTGCTGACCTTGGCATTGGGGAATATTTCTGCTGCTTCAATAGCCCCTAGGAAAACGTAAGACATTCATTGCGCGTAAAAACAATTTCAACGTGGGTGATAAACTTACAGATACCGGTGCCTGTTCCAATATCGAGGACATTGTGAACTTTCTCAGCATCGATCGGAGCCAGAAAGAGCTTATTTCCAATTGCTTTTGTCATGAGCATATGATTGAAGTCGAGCCGATCCATTTCTTGCTACGGGAGGCCGCCATTAGCGAAATTCGCCACCCGATTCTCGAGCAAGTACCTCGTCATTGGGGCCATAATAAGCTACTGAAGTTAGCCAAGTATTCATATAGCAAGGCGCTTTTGGTGGTTGAAAAAGCTTCTCCAAGATCAAGAACATACCTCCAGCTCGAAAAGCATGGTAACGTCTACCATTCTCTGTAGGGTAGTCGACCACACTGGAAGTCAGAGAGGCGGTGTATGAAGAACTATCGTAACATTAATTAAAGTCTTCAGAAAAGACACTTGCATCTCCTAACATTCTATCTTCAATAGTGGAGTCGTTGTCTGGGATCTGAATAAACATCAAGTCAGTAGAGTACGATAAAACTGACGTGGATGAATAATTACCGCATCGTCGACTTCAATGGCAGCTGCGAGGACCTCTTCACGAGTAGAACCTGGGGAAAGTCCACCCGCTGGTGATGCAGTCTTAGACCGATTCGGGGAGGCGCTCTTTGATTTGTCTCCTGTGGACGTCGCCTTGGGACTACTTGTTGCGTCCGCCATCTGGTCAATGAATGTTGATGGATTTGGGAAGATGTGGTTGCGAAATGGCCTCGAAGTCGCCAAGCGGTCAGAACGCGGGGCAGGAGCCAACTTGTACCTCAGTAAGCGGCCCGGGAGTCTGACATTCTCGCCCGCTGCTTTTGCTTCTGCAGCTTTGTTGGTATGGATGGACAGGGGATACTGAAGACAGTCCACATCTCGTTACATTGAGTTTCGCTCATCCCCCGACGTGCAGACTTCAACCCGAGGTAGCCAATGAACAGTCTCGCCTGGCTCCAATTGCAGTTTCTCCAATTCGAGACCCTGCTTTGCTGTCCTTATGGAACCAATGACCTCTACCCGCTTCCTGTCCCCGGGCCGTCCCTGGCCTGTCTCCAAGGGTGCAGCACGACATGGGGTACGAGTCAGCTCGGTGAACATCTGATGCCCCAAGATAGGAACAGACACCGTGTCTGAGCACCAACCAGAGGGAAGAATATGGCGTCCCCTCCTACATTGCGACATGAGCTGCAGAACCTAGACACCGGGTGTCTCCGTTGAAGAGCGGACAGCTGGTGCAGCGTGGATTTTGAACGATTCAATGCGATCAAGACACCGCACAGCTCTGCGCGCTTTACTAACACATACACATTGAGACAACTTCTGGATTCATCTTTTGTACCACTTTTTTCTGTATGATTATCCAACGTTCTGAAAGAACTTTTCATCATATATAACTCCAAAGGTGGTCTTTTCTCTCGCATGCTTCGACCCTCATGCATGGGCGTCTAAAACAAGGGCCCAGTCTTGATGGCCGTCTTCAACAGGCAACTCGAAGCGACGAACTCCCGTTCCGGTGCACTGCTCGTAGTCAAACTTCGTATACTCGCCAGACACGGGGCTGAACCAGCTCGCAGTCACATTACACCCTGTAAGACTGCCGGTGTCGATGTTGATGGTAGAGTTTGGAGAGTACACCATCAGCCACGATCCTTTGCTGTCGCGAGTGGCTGCGATCCGGGCGTCAGATATCCCTGCAGAATATTTAGTAACCATGCAAACTTCCTTATCGCGAGACTTTGTCGCGCTATTAGGGTACTTGGAGACGAACCAGCGTTGCCGACGATGATATCCTGAGCTGGAATCCTGTCAAGATATGTCTCCTGGCCACGGTCAAGAATAGCCTTCTTAACCCACTGAACCTCAGCTGAGCCAGGCTGCGCTATGCCTTCTGTCCAGTAGATCGGAGGTCCTCCGCCGGCGTTCGGGTAGAGTTCCGACGTCATCTGCCATACCGAGTTCGATCCGTACGTCAGACCAGCCATGCCGGCGAAAGCCTGCGCCCACTCATGGTCAGTCCACATCACATAAACTGCGCATCGTGCCTTCTTTGGAGATCAACTCACAGTCTGCCAATTTCCGATCCGGACGTCGCTGGCGTTCCAGACACTGAGGTGAGCCTTGGCATTGTTCCAGCGGCCCTCATAATGCGGCTCGTTCTCGATTGCGGGACGTTTCTTGCCAGAGGTGGTCTCGCCAACGGCATACATCAGCTCGGCTGGCTCCCATCCCCGGCGACAAGACCACCAAGGAATCGGGGCGTTGGGAGGATAGTCCGAATGGCCAGACTGAGACGTGTCGAAACTAAGCCACGAGCTGTTCCCGAAGAAGGAACTTGACAGCGCCAGAGGACCGTCGGCGAACCATTGGTTCGTTGGGTGCATAGATACCATCGGCTGGTAAACAAGGCCGTTGTCGATAGGCTTGCGCCATTCATCCCCCAGAGCAGCCTTCTCACCATCCACGATGCCCTCCGCAAAGGCCTCATACACATCCGTGAAGTCGATCACTTCATACTCACCGGACAGCTTCGTTCCCCTAACACCACCGTAGGCGTAATCTCTCGCGATCGCAGTCTTGTTCTTCCACCACGGATTCGTATCCCCAAAGATGATCTTGGGCACGTACGGATACCGCTCCCCCACAAACTCTCCAAACAGCCTCGCAGCGGCCGCAACAAAGAACCCAGGAACGCCGGCATCGTTGTGCACGTACTTGCCCCACGCCGGGTGCAGCGCGATACGGATGCCGTACTCCTCCCACGCATGTTGCATCACCTTGTCGACGAACGCCCAGTGGTCGAGGTTTGGTCGCGTGACGTCGCCGTCGATCCAGGACGGGTTTCCGAGGCGGTCTGGCTCGGTGATGCTTTCTGGATGCGCCCCGACGGCCTGAACCACATTGAAGCCTTTGCTGTGCCGGTCTTTGAAGTATGTGTCGGTTTCTTCAAACGAGAGACGGTTGAAGAGAAACCACGCGGTGTCTGCCTGCCAGAAGAAGGGCTTGTGGTCTATGGTCTGGAAGTAGTGGCCATTTTCGGAGGCGAAGAGGGCGTACTCGGGTGGAGGGCTCCATGCTGCTGCTATGCGGAAAATAATAGCCACATACGCTGCCGATATGAGCTTTCTACTGAAGGATAGCATCTTAACTGAATGTTTGAGAGAAGATAATAAGCATTCCAAGTTCCATGCGGTGCCTAGAATATCTCTGGTCGGGCCTTGAGATTGTCACCTTTATACCTTCTTAACGGATTAGTAGGCGCTACATCAGCTTAGCCGACGACAGCATGAGATGCATCTGGAGGCGATACATCGTGGGTAAACATACCTTCTGCGGCACCTCGACAGTAGTGTAGCCGCACGCGTGCGGCGCGGCTGCGGAGGCGGGATCGGCTCAGATCTGCCTAACCCGGCGACTGGTGGAAGAATGCCCTCCGCCCCTTCACCGGCCTTCCGCGGCACGGTGGGGATGGCGGGGTCACGAAAGGTCTTGAACGAACTGGTGGGAGGGTACGTCAACATTTGCGGGGTACAACGATACTCATTGGTGACGACTAAAGGCTTTTTTAACATCAATTAGGAAATTGGAAGCGTACTTGAGCTTCGAGGGGTATCTTCGCCTCATAAGGAATGTGCTCACATATCGAGCTTCTAAGTATATGCGTTGGAATCAGGTGCGAATAAAGCGGGAATTCGAGAATCGAGATTATTCTTCATTCATACAATACAATGATCGATGTGTCTTCAAGTTTCGAGAGACTTGGCGTGGGTGGGTGAGATTTGACGAAGCTGGCTGCTGACCATGTTTGCGTCATCCTGTTCGTAAGACTGGTGCGCGTGTGGCACGTAAGTCTGGCGGAAGGCAGATTGCTTAAGAGCTTTGCTAGGCGATCGGATTGCTTAGTTCCATGTCAATAATCCGCACTCAGTTCTTCACTATCCCTACCATCGACTCAATCAACGTACCTGTCCTCTTCACTGTCGTTGTTACATCCCCGAGTAAGATGGCCTTCTTCGACACCATCGCAGACCTGTTTGCAAACCAGACAACTCCGCCGTCGGCCCCGGAGCATTTCTTGGCATCTTTGGGCATTCCTTCTGTCTCCATCGCCGTCCTAGACAAAGGTGATATCGAGGCGAGATGTTTTTCTACTGTTGGCAATGACGAGGAAACTCGTTTTCAGGCGGCGAGCATCTCGAAGCCCACGGCTGCCACTGCAGTCATGTGGCTTGTCAGTCAGGGGAAGCTTTCACTGGACGACAAATTGCTACACCACCTTCCGGAAGAGCTCTTTAAGAACCTCGGGCCGCCCGCGATCCTCAAACAAATAACTCTCCGCCATCTTCTCACCCACACGGCCGGGTTCCGAACTTCGGCCTATACGGGTTATGCGAACAACATGCCTTCGGCCCTAGACACGTTGCTCGACAGGAATGGTGGGCATAACATTGCCGAAGGGCTGACCCTGCTGCCGGGGATGAAGCACGCATACTGCGGGGGCAACTTCGCCATGCTTCAGCTTATACTGGAGAAGATGTTTGACAAGCCCTTCCAGGACCTTGTGAGAGAGCTTGTCTTTGAGCCCCTCGGAATGTCTCACTCAAGCTATGACATGCCTGAGCATGACGACAAGGGGAACTATGCACGTTCTTGGTGGACTGGCAATGAGCCGCATGATACCCCATGGCATCACCATCCCGAGTTCGCATCAGGTGGAGTCTGGACGACGCCAACGGATCTGTTGAAGCTTATCAGAGGCATCCAGCAATCCTTGAGGGCAGACATCCCCGAGAACGACACATTTCTCCCACAGGATATTGCTAAGGAGATGTTGACCCAGGTACAACAGGGCATTGCCATCTCATGGTTCGTGTCGAGGCACAAGAGCAACGTCTTTGGCCACTTTGGTGGCAACTCGCCCTGCTTCAGATGCTACGTGGTTGGCTTTGCCAACACAACTGGAGACGTCGATGAGAAAGACTTGGAAGCAGATTGCGGTATTGCTGTTATGACCAACGGATGGGAAGGAACTGATGTTTGCTGCCGCGTGGTTCACGCAGTATCATATGCCAAAGTATGGCCTTACATGGGCACGTTGGAGCATCTTCAGGAAGTATCCATTCCTTTCAGAGACATCAACAAACAGATTGATACAAGATGGGAGGATTGGATTGGCGAGTGGTCATCTGGGTGGAGGCTGGAGAAGGGAGACGACGAAGATCCGCGAGCGAGTTTCAGGGAGTTTGCTGGTTTGAAGCTGGTTGCCGCCGCAGTACCTGCTGAGCGTGAGAAGCAGGGAGATTCTATTGATTTGCTTGTCGATGGATTGCGCATCATGCTGAGACTCCATTATGTGGACGCTGAGCCGGTCATCAGCCTCTGGAGCGGCCTCATCTTTCAAACCGAGACTCTTAGAAAGACGTCGTATCTGTAGGTAGTAATTGCAGTTCTTGTGGCGCTCTTGTGGCGCTCTTGTGGCGTTGCCGTAACCTTCCTGTACTCGCCTAGGCTCTCGTGGCTCTGCTCAGTTTCCCTTCTACTTCAACCTTGACAGATCTAGGGTTACTAAAATGACTTCTACATATCAAGGTTTTGATGAACAAGTTGATTCCTGTCCGTCTGTAGAAAAGCCTAAAGAGTCTCGGCATTCTATCAAATAAAACACCAACCCGCCTATGCAATGACGGCTGAGATTACCATGGCGAGCCACGACAACAATTCCCTTATGCATTCGGCAGCATGGTCGCCTATTCTGCAGCTTCCACCCTGTCTACTTGTCGAGATATTTGACCTCCTTCACTCCAAAGAACCGTACCAGCCGCGAGATCTATCAGCCTTCTGCAGAACGTGCAAAGTCGTTTACCATCTTGGCACGCCTTGGCTTTACCGCCGTTTCCAATACACAGGTAGCGGGAACCAGTTCAGGAATTTGAAACGCTTCTCTTCCACCCTGGAGCAGCGAGACAGTCTCCGTGTACACACCGAAAGCTTAGATCTCGCTATGCCAAGCCCTTACAATATTTTCATGGATCGGAACGACTACAGACTACCGTCAAGTGTCATTCAAGATCTGCACCATCGTGGTTTCCTCGAATGCACCAAAGCCTGGAGGTATTGTGGAGTTTTAGCTGCGTGGTTTGATATGGCCTACGACCTTATACTTTTCAAAACCCCCCTGTTGAAAAGGCTGTCATTACACTATTCTGATGAGGCCAGCGATATGGAGGACAACATGAGAGCTAATTTCAAGAGAAGGGCGCTGCTGCATTCTCACTACCATCGACGTCTATCTCAACTAGAGGAGGTGAACCTGACGCAGCCTTCGTCAGCCCGGCATGACAGTTTCAGTACCTCGTATTTATTTTTCGAATGGATGTCTTCCATGGCACCAAGTCTGAAGCGCCTGTCATTCAACGTCGGTGTTTGGGACCCAAAGGATGGGCTGCCGCAACGAGAGCTTTCCTTCCAAGCTCTAACGCATCTGAATCTTGGAAAGTCTCGCATCCCACCTGAGCCTCTGAAGTTGATTTTATTCTCATGCAAAGCGCTCGTGAGTTTCCACTTCATGCCAATAGGATGCCGCTTTACAGACTTTGACGATATTTGGCATAATGACGTGCGCACGGCGCAGCCTAATGACGTACTCGAAACTTTGAGGTCGCAACAAAAAACTCTTGAATATCTTAACCTTGTCATGGTGGGTGCAAAGCTCCCACACGGCCCAAAATCCATTCGAGAGAAAATGATCTCAATGAATGTGTTCGAGCGTCTGAGCCACCTGACTCTGGATACCTGTTGCTATCATTCAACAGACTCTTTGTCAGAACTCCTACCGCCAAATCTCAAATCCTTTCAGTTGATTGGCATGCACCGAACTATGCATGAAGAGCTGCAGGATTTAGCCGATTCTATTTCGAGGCGACGGCTTCCTCATCTTCGAAGTGTCACTCTTTATCCGTGGCCTTGCTCTGCTCTGAGTTGTACAGATATCACGAAGCTGAGTCGCATCAGGGACACTTTTCGTCGAAAAGAAGTGGTTTTCTCCTGCTCCCACGTACATACTCAGTTACAAGTTGGGGAGCTGAACAAATGGATCAGGCATGAGCTAGACCATTACCTTGCGTATCTTTCTAGTGAAGACTTGGATCATGATATAAACAATTGGCTAAATGATCACTGGGATAACTTCTGGAATGATAGGGGATGGGAGTTTGATTCTAATGATGGATAGAAGTTTTACGAACATAACTTGATGTCGAATAAGCAAAATATTTGATGATTTGAATCCCCTCTATTTTAATTTCACGCCCGGATTGAAGATTGAAGAAAAGGTTGCTATAAAGTTTCTTTCCGGCCTTTTCAGTTTCTGAACATCTCCCATCTCTGATATTCGAATTTTCGTGGATGACTCAACCCTAGGCCTCGTTACGTACTCCTGGGCGCCGCCAACAGGCTTGTTCTCGTATCCCATATTCCTCTCACGCATCCATGGATATGAGACTTACTCAAGAATCATCGGTCCTTCAGCTTTCACATCGCAAATGAAGCTCGCGGGACACCGGCAAGGCCGGGGCAGAGTCCAGAAACCAAATCAAGACAGGGTCCAAAGCTCAGCTCAACGCAAGTCTGGCAGAGGATCCCGAGGAAGTGCTCGAGGCAGAGTCAGGAGTCGCAATACCCAGCCTGAAGAAGGGTCAGACCGCCTGTCATGCTTGCCGACGGAACTTTTGTTCATGATCATGGGTTACCCAGAACGTTCGCAAAGGCTTTCAAAGGTTGCAATCTCCCTGTGTCGTGTCAGCAAAAGGTTCAACGATCTAATAACCCCCATTATGTACCGCAATTTCAGCACATTCGACATAACTGGGCAAGATAATGAGGCAATCATCAAGCCATTTCTTTTCCTTCGCGCGATTATTTCGCGATCAGACCTGGCGTGCCACGTCAAAAGCGTGTCGTTAAAGTGGAAAAGGAACTTCACAAGACGACCCATCAGGAAACCCGATCCCAAGCTGATTTGGGAGGTGTACGTCATGGCCGGGATGCCCGACTGTCAACTCAACATCCCTTGCGGTGTGGTACAAGCTAGTCCAACTGTTCTGAAAGAATTGTTTCTGTTCGCACTGATGCACATACTTTTGAGAACGGAAGATCTGGAGAAACTTGCTGTTAGTATGTCAGATCACACAAACGAAGGCTCAAAGATCTTGGCGCGGACGGACTTGGGTACTTCTTTGCAAAAGCTACGCCAAGTCTCTTGTGCGAACGACGGGGTGCTTCTCCCCTTCATATGTTCTTGGGCGCCAAACCTTCAAGAATTAGATCTCACCGACGTACTACTTCATCGAAGGACCGAACTAGGCAACCACAGACTCGTACACCTACGTCTGAGAAACATTCGACGACTAGACTTGAACTCCATGAGCACGGACAATCGTTCTTTGAGAGAACTCCTATTGTTGTGCGGGTCCCTTCTGAGCTTCAAATACGAACCCAAAACGGAAGCACTATCTGATGAGATCTTCCTATTAGGGATGCGACATTTTCCGTTTTATTCCTATGAAGAGCCGGAAACGACAGTGCCAGGGATTTTGGATGCTCTGACAGCGCACAAGTCAACTTTAGAAGAGCTCACTATACATATGGGATTTTCTCTGTCCCAGACTAATAGCCTCTCTATTCTTGCTCTCGATCTGACTGGATTCGAAAAGTTGAAGATGTTGAGTCTTGACACATCCTCATTTGAGCCAGTCAAATGGTTGAGCAACATGCTGCCAGGAAGCATCGAGAGCTTACGCCTTCTTAGAAAGGTTTCCTGGTTTCTCGACGGCTCTTCGGTTCATTTGAACAGCATGCGAGACCAGCTTCTGAGATTCACGGAACGCCATTCAAGATTCCCGTTGCTGAAGAAAGTGTCGTTTGGATCCAGACAAGGAGCAAAGCATCACGGTGTGTCTGGGATTGAGGATGACTTCGGTCGGATTGGGGTCGAATTCACAAGTTTTGAATTAGAATAGTGACAGGATGCACAGGACAAGACGCTGATCCAATTTAGAAGGCATTTGTTGTTGTACCCGAGGTCTCCGATGCGATACAATACGAATTGAATCTGGGCTAATGAAATACAGTTCCATTCACTCTGTACCCCCTGCCACCGATTGACATGCCACATTAGTTTCACTCTACCCTCCGAGTACTGAACCGGACCGAAATGTCCGGCGTGTGCGGCACTACATGATATGACTCTCCAAGATGCAAATGCAGCATTGGTATTCAGACTGGCTACTCCCAACGAGAAGGGTCGCACTTCCAATCATAACGCAGTGGCATGACCTCGGTAAAGACCCCTCTGACTACACCATAGCACCTCCCCCCTCATTTAAACAATAAAATACAAAAATTCTCGTTACTGTCTTTGAGTGCACCTAGTCCCACTGCTTGAGGAATTCTTGAGTTTCAACAAACTTCTCCCGGATGACCTCAGCATGCCTCTCGCTCCGTGGGACAAAGCGCACTCTGAAATCTTTGGTCGCATGCACGAAGCCTTCTTCGTAGAACTCATAACTCGTATCCAGCTCCCCGTCCTTCTCAATTTTGAAAGCCCAAAGCATCTGAGCGACACTTCGCCACTGAGTCCGCTCGGCCATGTGGATACCGGGGCACATGCGCCGCCCAGCGCCATAGGTGTAGTGGTCGCGCTCATCGTACGCCGGCGATGCGGCGAGCTCGGAAGCTAATTTCGAGGCCGAAGCAAGGTAACGGTCTGGATTGTATGACTCAGGGTCATCAAAGTGTTTGCTGTCGTGGTTGAGAGCGCTCGGCGGGATCATCACGACGCTGCCCTTTGGAATCAACATGCCCTTGTACCAGGCGTCTTGCTTGGCGAGATGGGGTACGCCGGTTGGAACACTTGAATAGTTTAGTCTCACGGGATGCTTATTCGGGCTTCAGGCAAACTTACACTGGTCTGATTCGCAGGGCCTCTTTGATGATGCAGTTGATATACGGCAGGTCATTGAAGTCTTCCCATTGAGGAAGACGATCGGTCCCGCATAACGCATCAAGCTCAACGCGGGCCTTTTCTTGAAATTCGGGATTCTTCGCCAGGAAGAGGATATTTGTAAGAATTTGTGTAGCCGTGGTGTCAGCCGCACCCATCTGTGTACCTCCAACAAAGTTGTTGAACTGTGTATGTGAAAGCGGCGCATCGGACTTGATGTCTTCGTTAAGCAGTCTGTCAATCAGTGATTCACGCTTGTCGCCCTTTGCACGTCTGGCTTCCACGCGATCGTACGCTTCGGTCCAAATACCGGTGATTGTCTTGTAATACTCCATTCCACGAAGCTTAGGCTTGTTCCAGCAGTCGGGGATAAGGTTCAGGATTGGGAACTGGTCAACTGGAAGGTAAGTTCCCGGCTCAACAGCCTTTGATATTGCCAACATTGCGATATAGACAGCCTTGATAAATCAGCACCGGTTCAGATGGCTAGTGGACTTGACTTACATGGGCCCAGAAGCTTTCAAAATTGTGCGCATGTTGCCCGTACAGAGTGACAGTGCCAATCGAGGCTGTGGTTCGCTGCACGTGTGTTTTGAAACTCTCTGGCTTCTCGAGCAAATCATGCAACATTTGACAGACCCTTGATTCTCCGTCAGTATAAACCTTAGTCGGGTTAAACTTGGCACCTACTCGGCCTCTTGAATGCTCTTTAAATCGCTGTCAAGATTCTTGGGCGAGTAGTACTGAGCGATGAGCTTCCTCTCGGCTCTCCACTCAGGGCCCTCATGCATGAGAGCAGGGTTTTCATCTCTTGTTGAAGCCAAAACTTGTTGGTCTCGAGGTCTATCATTGTAGAGCGCCCCCTGCTGATTCAAAAGTTCGTGGATGGCCTGTCTATCATTGAGGACGATCATAGTCGTGCGTCCGACCTTTAGTGAGTAGACTGAGCCATATTCGTCGGCCCATTCTTTGAGTCTAAGACCAGTTAGTCACCTAAAAATATGATTGATTCGACCGTTCTGACTTTGCATAGAAATTCTTCCGCGGCATCAAGTGTGCATTTCCGAGAATTGGGACGGTAGGCGGCCCGGGAGGCAGGAATTTGTCTCGACGACCAAAATTGCGGAGTCTGAACAAAATATAGATGGTCGGGATCACCCAAATTAGACGTGATGTCGCCAACCCGACGATCAATTCAGTGAAAGCCATGGTTTTTTACAGACCTCACTCAGCTGCTGTATCAATGGAATCGTAGATAAACGCTAAGAGGATGAAATTTCGGCTGGCTGTGGACGATCCTGAAAAAATATACTGGCCAGTGAGGCAGGCCACGCTATTTACACCAGGAAGCTCCATATGCCGAGGTAGCATCGCCTTGCGTATCCCCACCAACATAGTCATCGTTTGCCTGTTTAGTACAGCCGGCAGAGGCACGGCTTTCTCGTCCTGCATCATTGCCTAGCCACTGAGAATGGTGTCTTGGGTGCCTAATCAGCTTTCCGGGGTTCATCATGGTGCCATACCAGAAGTAGGCAAAAGATGCAGCGCAAACGATCCACTTTTCAGCCAGCCACTGAATCACGCATGTTAGCGCAACATGTTGGCCAACATACCTTTCCGTAGGGCTGATTGGAACCTAGAATTTCGTCACTTGTAATACGCCCTACACTGAAAGTAGATCTTCGGGGGATTTGCCGATCGATGTCCACCAGGCAGCAAACATGCTCAGCCTTCTTGGTCTCAGGGGCCAATGGAGGAAAGGCCATCTTGCACACAGCCGATTGGTTTGTTGGTTGCTGACATGAAGCCATCTTGTCGGGATCTTTATCGCCTGTGACGTTAAGTGCTTATCTGCACACCGAAGCCCCAAGGCAGTGCAATTGTGCCGCTTCCTCTGGGGGCCAATCCCCGCACAGGGATTACAATCAGCTCCTTCTGCCTAGTCCAAGTCATTTCACACGATGCGACTCGGCGAGCTCGGAGGAAGATGACGCCGAAAGTTGGCACGATGAGATCTTTCTCGCTGATGTCAGCCCGCCATATAAATCGTACCATATCTCTGTGGCTGTTATTACTTGAATGTCGCGAGTCTTGAATCGCTTACTGGAGATGGGTCCCGGATCAATTGAAAATGAATTTCCTGCCTATCTTTGACTAGGTAATATAGAGCGCGGAGATTCTGCTGAATTTCTCAGAAGCATGAGAGCAACAAGAGACCAGTGATCAATGCCTCAAATATCTTGGCGCGTGCCTGAGAGTTATTTTGAGACTTTCTGATGCGACTCTTCGCTAGGTTCATGTCCATTCGAATGAGAAGCTGGTGGCGGAGCATCCCGCCGTAACCCCTGAAATTGTCCACCAAGGCATTCAGATCGCCTTCACGTGAGGTGTGATCGCGCCAGCTCTCGTCTCTTCAGATACGGCTTCATCTATGATCGACATGAATAAGAAAAAATACACGCGCGCCTGGAAATGCGACCCTAGAATGGGAAGCTGATAACCAAATCTAAACTTGTGTTAGACTAGATTGATGGTCTGGAAAGTATCTACAGCGTCTTCTGGGTACTGGGTTCAATAGAAGAACTCTGGCTATTCGTTCAGATGAGGGCTCGGAGTTAGCCCTCGGGGTTTTTAACGATTCATGTTCAAATAGAGGACATGCGACGCCTGACATTTGGGACTTGGGACATGACAGCACAATTATTGCTCCATGTGAAAGCTTCTGGCAAGTTGCATTACCCTTGTCGTTCATGTTGGCCTCGAAATTTCCGTTGCCGTCGGGGATGACGCGGGAACAAGCTTTTTGCAACTGGATTCTAATCAAAGCGGCAATTTTGTAAGTGCGGACGGAATTGCCCAAAACGCCGGTCTACCCGCGACGGCGACGGCATCACCAAGTTGCGCCGAATTTGCCAGAGGTACTGAGCTTCATGATCTTGCATCTCACACTCGAAATGATGGCGAGGTTACTCAACCCTTCATAATAACATTGCCAATAACACGAGCCTTAGTAGCTTCTCGCTGTCAGCAACCTGACTCAGTGTCACGTTGAAGAAAGCAACTACAGTGACAGAGAGAAAAGGGAAGGCCCTCTGCATGGAGCATCAAGCACTTCAACTTCGAGTCTGTTCATCAACTCCCTTGGATGGCTGATTCGCGTGGAGAACAACAGGTAGAAATATTTGTTAAAGATCGTTAATGCTTTGAATTGAGAGAGTCGATGTCCGACCCTGTTGCTCTTCTCCGAGTTGTAACTAATTGCGCAACTTCCTTCATGGTCATTCCACCGCAACCTTCTTCCACGTTCTGCATGTAAAACTGTCTTCCTCTGAGCGCCTTTAAGACGCGCACTAGCTATTCGCGCCTTATCTAAACTCCAACATCTCTCACAACCACCAACTACAGTCGACCAGTGGTTGTCTTAGCCGCCAACGATAACACCACCACCGACAATGACCGTGCGGCCACCGCCACCGCCAGTGCTACCGCCACCTCCTCCTCCTGTGTTGCCGCAATCTTGACGCTTTCCAAATCCTCCAGATTCGATTTCCAGTGGAAGGAGGACGTTTTGGCGCTCAACTGGGTCGGAGCTGTCGAAGAGATCTACGTGCATGGGGTCGATGACGGTGCCGACAGGAATGTTTTGGTCGTCACTGGCGAACATGAAGAATGTGTTTTCAGGTTGTTTGCCATCGCAGTTCTTAAAGTCTACGACTTTGTTGTCCAGGCCGGCGCAGTAGTTCTTGTAGGTCTCGGCGCCCTCAGCCATGCGGGCGAGGAAGAAGGCGGTCGCCATGACTCGCAAGCCCGGCAAAGGAATGTGTTCTCTCGTCATGATTGCGAGAAGGAAAACAAAAGAGTGTGGTTGGTAAGGACCGTGTTTGATAACAGTAGAGAATGGATGTTGGTCGTCCAAACAAAGACACCTGCAAGATATTTCGTGGGCAAAGTCCACATTTATGTTCTTGAAGTCCAATGCACCCTGGGGGCCTTGTGTTCCCGCCGCCTTGCGAGGCCCTCGGGAACGCCTGACTCGATGTGTTATTTCTCTGTCGATCACGCATATCCCTCATGTTAAGCACCTATTAAGCACCTATTAATAAGGTTCTGCAGATACCTCAATTATATTATCCACGCGACTCACGCACGGAACCTTCGGGGGCAGTGTTTAATAGAAGTGCAATTCCACGTTTCTTGGCATTCTAGATCTTGGTCGAAAGAAGCTCACTCGTTACTCTTCCCCATGGGACGAACTTTCGGTCTCTCCTGACATAAATACTTAGACTTAAAGTGACCCGGGCGGAGACCACATTTCTGGGCAACTTCCACGCTCTTTTTCAGACACTTCACCAGCCCTCAACCACACTCGCTCTAACTGTCCTTACTGCGCTACAATCTCTTCAATGTGAGTCATCAGCCACCATTCCCACGTGAGCAAGAACCTTGATTGCTAACATGACGCCAGATGCACTTTTCTTCCTTCATCTCTGCAGCGGCGCTATTCGTCTCGGCTCACGCCGGTGGCTTATGCGCAGACACGACGGTCACGGGAGACGCCATTACAGGATTCCGATTCTCTACTGGCTACTGCCCAGGTGGCTGGCAGTGGTACTCTCGTGACAAAGGCACCACCATCACACTCAACCCGGATTGCCAGATGCGCCAGGCGTGGCCCAACCCGCAGGCCGTCACGGCCGTGTGCATCCGCAACAAGGCCGGAGAGAACAAGTGCGTCAAGGCCCCGACGGAGGCCGACCAAAACTTCTGTGGAATCCCGACCGATTGGTGCAACAATATTGAAAACATGTGGGGTTGGTAGACTAGAATACATGGGACGATAGATTTTTCTAAATTAAGACCTTCTTTCTCTTCTACTATGCAGTGCCTCGGCTCGTCAAATCTTTCCCAAATCTGTGCTTCTGTGACATGTTCCTGGAAGCTTAAAAAAGAAGCTTTAAATATATGAAGTCATCCTTGCTGTAGGGCAGGCCTTCTTCCCTCTGCGCAATGCGCCAAGACCCTAACGGTGTTACCGGCAGGCCTTCAAACTTCTCAGGCTGACCTTTAAACTCAAAATTGAGCGCCCAGAGATCGGCGGGGTCCGAAAACGAACTGCTATTCGCATTCTCCGCGTAGAAAGAGCGGGCGCGGTTCATCGCATGTGTAGGGATGATGCCGGTCGAGCCGGCTGCCACTTTGCGTTTGATCGCCATGTTACTGAGTCGTTGTCTCCTGATAAAGAGCAAAGCCACAAGTCAGGCGACTTAATCCCACTCTGCAACCAACATAAAAAAGCCTTGGCATCATCTAATAGCAGGCGATTCTCATGCTCGGTTACAGCAAGTTTGAGAGAGAGTTTGCATTGAATGCAGCGCCACTGGATATCAAAGTCTACTCAATTCATTATTGGCATGGACGGTAGTTTTCAGTCCAACTCTCCCCGCCGTTCCCTCTTCGAATCGACGTCTTCCCAACTAGCTCACTCGCAGGTACAGCAACGTCAATCAGCTTAGAATCATCACCATCAACACAACCAACCATGCGCCGCGTACCTGTACAGAAGAGGCCAAACGCCACACGCCTCGTTCAAAGTCAAGGTCTCGTCTTCGCCGACCTCGTCACACCAGGCGGAACAGAACCATACTGGCCCGATGATCGCTACTATTCCTTCACCTCTGAGGAGGTGGCCTTGCTGGAGGCCGCATCCAAGGATGTCTTTGCAATGTGCTGTGAGGCGGTAGACTATCTCGTGGAGCACAAAGAAATTATTACGGACAAGATGGCAGTTCCCGCGTACACACTCAAGCAAATCGTCGATTCGTGGGATCGAGAGCCTGCTTGGGGAAGCATCTACGGTCGCTTCGACGTGTGCTTCGGCGGTCTGGATCACCCTGATCCGAGGCTTCGCGTACCAAAGTTCTATGAATTCAATGCGGATACGCCGACATCCTTGATCGAAGCAGCGTCAATTCAGTGGCTTTGGTTAGAGCAAACAGGCCACGGCAACGACCAGTTCAACCACATTACCGAGTCACTCATCGAGGGCTGGAAGCGTAATTTGAAGCTCGTCGAGGAACAGCTGGGCTTCAAACCCACCGTGCACTTTGCCGTGGGAGAAGGCGAGCCGACCTGCGAGGATGCATCAAACACAATGCTTCTTATGGACACATGTCAGCAAGCAGGATGGCTGACGAAGGCCATCACGGTGGAGGAAATCAGCCTGTCCAAAGTCGACGGCCGCTTCTACGACAAGCAGGGAGAGCACATTGACGTTATTTTCAAGTTGTACCCATGGGAGTACATGGTGGTGCAGAAGTTTGGAGAGGCGTGTTTCAAGGACATGGAGAACATCGGAAAACGGGACGCGACGGGGCAGTACATCGGCGGCACGATCTGGATCGAGGCGCCGTATAAGCTTGTGTGGAGCAACAAGGCACTCTTCGCTGTTCTTTGGGAGCTCTTCAAGGATGACCCGCGATCCAAGTGGTTGCTTCCTACTTACTTCGACAACGAGGTGCCTGCTACGCTAACAAGGTATGCGCGAAAGCCGATTTTCTCCCGCGAGGGAGCAGACGTGGTGCTGAAGACCGACGGAGAGGTGCTTCAGGACGCGTCTATGGGCTACTACGGATACGAGGGGTACGTGGTGCAGGAGCTGGCGCTGCCTCCTGACTTCAAGGATGAGCAGGGCCAGTCCAACTTTCCTGTCTTGGGACTTTGGTTTGTCGATGGCGACTGCGTGGGCATGGGTGTCCGCGAAGACAGAACGCCCATCACGACGAATGCCTCGGTGTTCATCCCCCACTCCATCTCGGATGGGCCCGTCAATTATGAGCGACATCCGGTCCCAGATGCAGACGAGATCGAATCGCAACTCCGGGTTGGCACATTTGAAGACGAATTTGGCCAGCACAAAGGAGATGAGCTTATAGATTACATAAAGAAGATCATCAACGTGTAAATACTGGGTGAGGAAGGAAGGCATTAGATGAGATTAGCGCATAGAGTTGAATGTCCCAGTCAGTCTACTCGTTTACCAACAATTTGAATATCTCGTGTCCCCAATAATCTAGCCCACTTTGAATACACGTCACAGTAGCGATGCGTGAGCCACAATACACGGCCGAAACTCGATCCAACTGGGCCACCTCGGGCCGGACCGGCGAGACTCCACAGTCGGCATCCCACACCGTAGCGCCGCCGATCCCCGCACTATCATCTCAGTTTCTCGACCGCCTTTCTTCCAACACTACTCTTTCAACCCGCAAGTCCCCCCGTGTGTGTATCTCGAGAAGTTTTCTCTGTTCCGCATTCTCAAGGAATCCAACACAACCCTGCGTATTTCAAGGGTTGAAGCCAAGCTACTCTCTGTTGGCAATGTCATCGCCAAGCGCCCAGAACAACTCCGACCTCGGAATGCCGCGCGAAGCTACGTCAACCAATTTTGAGCTGGAGAGCGGGCAACAAGCACCTCCTTCAGATGCTCCAAGTCTACGAAATACCAGGTCAGCAGACATTGAGAACAGGATTTCATCTTGGGTATGCGTCCTGGGAGCCTTCATATTCCTGCTGCCATCCTATGGTGAGTCTAATTCCTACGATCTTCGAAAAAGAATTCTGTTGAATACATCATTTCAGGATTTCCCCAGGCTATCGGCACAGTCCAAGCCTATCTCCAAGAACACCAGCTTTCAGGATACTCGGCTCGCGATATCGGTTGGGTGACGGGCCTCTACACCGCCCTGACACTTTTCCTCGGAATCCAGGCAGGCCCCATAGTTGATCGTTATGGGACCGAAGTGCTAGCGCCTCTTTCTACGGCTCTTACTCTTCCAACTTTCTTCCTCCTGGCCGAATGCAAGTGTTACTGGCAGTTCATGCTCTGCCTCGGCATCTACGGCGGCATCGGCGGTGCGCTAGCATCGACGGTCGCCGTGTCCGTCGTAGGCAAGATATTCACGAGACTGCGCGGCCTCGCCATAGGTCTAGCACTCACCGGTTCTGCGCTAGGTGGTGTGGTCTTCCCATTTCTTCTGCGAGAGCTATTTCCCAAATGGGGCTGGGCCTGGTCGATGCGGTTCGTCGGCTTCACCATCGCAGGGGTCATGATCCCAGGGACTCTATGCTTCATCCCCTTCGCGAAGCTCTCACGAACCCACCATCACACGCAACTCGTCGTCCCTTCACAGCCATCTGCGGACCCTGCTGCCCCCACCCCGAGACACCGCGCCGCAAGCGCCACCATCAACTTCGCCGCCTTCCGCGTCCCCGCATTCTCACTCATTGCAGCGGCCTTCTTCCTTCTCGAGTTCGTCATATTCGGCATCTCGGGCATCTTTCCCACATTGGCAAATTGGGCCGGGTATCCCGCGGACACGGGGTACAATATCGTGGCCATCGTCAACGGCTGCGGCTGTATCAGCAGAATCGGGGCCGGATTCCTCGGCGACAAGCTCGGGCACTACAATGTTCTGTTCACGAGCACATGTGTGACTATCGTCTGTGTCGCAGTCACTATACTCCCTTTCGGCACGACGCATATCCAGGCCCTCTATGTATTTGCGGTTCTTTGGGGCTTAAGCTCGGGGGTGTTCTCAGCCTTGATTCCCGCATGCATGGGCAAGACGTGCCAGACCAAGGACTATGGTCGATGTTTTGGAAGTATGAATTTCACTGTAAGCTTTGCTCTCTTGATAACAGTCCCCATTGGAGGTCAGATATTGGAAAGTATTGGCGGCATGGCACTGGCTGGCTTGTACGTCGGAGTTCTCTGCATGGCGGGCGGTTGCATCCTTGCTTCTAGATCCCTGCTGGTCCAGTCATGGTTGGACTACAAGATCAGGATTTGACCGTGTCCAAAGATGGACGCAAAGCATCCGATGACTTTGTCTACGACGGCCTACTTTCTGTGATAGGAGATGTCTATTAGATGATGTAAACTAAGTAGCGAGCTCTGCTGACAATGTCGGACTCGCAATGTGGGAGACATTCATGGCTTCGATATCAATGCTGAAGACAAATTGAAAATTCATCAATATACCAGCTGCGGTTTCCTCGAATAATCTAGCTAGCCACGTTGGGCTGTCAGGGCGACAGTAATCCCTAGGCCGCCTTTGGATGTTATGGCTTGTTAGGCCAATAAGCGAAATGTTCCAAAACTTAGATCCAATGAGATAACTCTTGAGTGGGTACGTGGAGCCCCTCTCACAACAAGTGTTCTAGTATCTCTGCCGGTAAATGTAACAACGTCGAGAGCCGACTTCTTTCAATATCGCACCTTCTAAGGATTGAACATTACTTCCAATTATTAGGATGGCGCAAAGGCTCAAGGCTCTCGTACTCACCAACTCGGAGTACGGCCAAAGCCAACATATTCCTGGCAATATTTTACACGTTGATGGGCACAGCCCCTGACGTCGAGATCCACCTAGCCTCCTTCGCACCCATCAAAGCTGCGGTAGCCGCTGCATCTGAACTCGGTATGGAAGCTCATCCGAACGCCAAGCCGATCAACTTTCACGAGATTTACGGTACGAACTACTTCAAGGCCTTGCTCTCCCCTGACGTGGGAGGCAGACGATTGCTTGAGATTGCGCCGAGCTTCCGGACAATGCCCACTGTCTTGCGGGTCGTCGCCTGGGCTGCCACGCCGTACACTGGGCCGGAAATGGTGCAGAACTGTAATAAGATTCGATGGATCATTGAAGAGGTGGAGCCAGATTTGACTCCAGTCTGATGGACAACATGTTTACACCAAGGTTGACTTTGGCTCGGCACATGGGCATCAAGTGGGTGATCATGTCACCCAACACCCTTAAACACCTTCCATTGCCGTTACAACCTAAAGCAGCTTTCTTCCGGAAGTATCCATGGTAAGAGACTGGCCCTTTCCAAATCAACAACAAACATTTTTTGGCTAAGGATAGTGTTGGGACCGCCCCTCCCCTTCCCAATACCATGGCACCCAATCCCACTGAACGTGCTATACGTGTTCATTCTCATATTCTTCATGATATTCAACAGTCACGCGCGCAGGGCACGGGATTATGTGACTGAGAAGACCGGAGCTAAGGTCTTTAATCAGCGAGAGTTCAGTAATTCGCAGCCGGACTTGAAGATGCTTATGGCGAGCAGCCCAGAGTTCGACTTCCCAGTTGAACACAAGCCAGATAATGTCATCCCCTATGGCCTCATCATGCGACCAGTCCCGCCAGTCGCGCAGGTTGATCCTGAGCTGCACACCTGGCTCGTCCGAGGACCGACTGTGTTCGTCAATCTGGGAACATTATCTGGGACCTCAGAAGACCAGGCTGTTGAAATGTCCCAGGCCATACGTTTGCTTCTCGCTGGTTGGCGTGAGAAGGGTGAGGGCGGAAGGCTTCAAATCCTGTGGAAGCCGAAGCAGACCCTACGGGTATGTTGAGTACGACATTCACGAGAATGGCTGTCGTCTTGAGGGCTTCTTGGGAAGTGAGTTTTACAACGACACTATAAGAGTTGTGAAGTGTGTAGAGGCAGAGCCGTATGCTGTTCTGCAGACGGGAAACATCATTTGCTCGGTCATCCCTGGTGGAGCGGACTCGTTTTTGGGAAGCACTTTGGTGGAGAACAGTTCCAAGTTTTCGCAAAGAGTAGCAAAGCTAACATGAAATGATGAAACACTGGCGTTCCTCAGGTTGTACTATCTGTCTGGGCGGATACTCACGACTTTGCTCAACGGGTTGAATATCTGGGTATCGGAAAATGGGGTAGCCCGACTACAGCACCAGGATACCGTGCCGAGGAGCTTATAGAGATCAAAAGAGCTGGTGAATCAAATACTTCAGTTGAGAGAGGGTCGAGACGTGGCTGCGAAGCATATTGTTGAAAACATCTAGGTCTGTTCAAACGTAAACATAAGTGAGGAAGTCATTGTACGTTTGCTTTTCCTGACGCACCCGCTTTTCAGTGGCCACGTTTGGTTGAAGTACACAACAAATTTAGTAGTAGAGTTGGAGTGTAAATAAAATAGCGTTTTCGAATAATCTGAAAAATAGTCATTGAGAAGACAAGACCGTTCTTCCCCTATTCCTCTTTATGGTCGTCGAATTTGTTTTCTCGCAACTTGCGCAACATAGAGATTGAAAAGAAGCCTTTTCCAAATTATCTTGCCTGAGCCACTCTCCCTCTCTATTGCCGCTGTGTTCGTCACTCCCCTTATCGTTTGCCTTTCCGATGTACTGGACGCGTCAATCGGGGCGCAAAACTTCGTGCCCCACTGACTCCTCTAATGGGTGTTTGTATCCAGCAGGCATTCACCTCCTTCCAATTTCATAGAAAGCCACTAAATGACGTGAAAAGCCCACTAAAGCTGAGGTCTTGGCTTCGAACAGCATGCCAAGGTACGGGCTTGGTAGCAGCCAAAGGAGTTGCTCCCAGTCTTTCCATCCAGAGACGATTAGAACGTAACAACCCGAAATGCCCAATCCGAGTATTGCGGCCGCTGCTTTTGCGTTGGCTACTTGGGATTTATTGTCTATCAATGGAATGAGTAGGCCCATAAGACAAATAATATAGGCGATTATGAGAAATATAGCCGTCAAGATAATGGCAAGGTTGTTGCCTTGGACCCACGGGCTGTAAGACATGCCGGCAGCCCATAGCCACGATGTCGCTGCGCCGGACAGGATTATGAGAAGCACCCCAAGTGAGTGCGGAGAGTCTTTTGCAGTTGCCATCTTCAAGTTTGAGTCGTTCTCCGCAAGGTTGGTGATGGAGGCTTTACCGAAGCCTTCAGTTAAGTAAGTGTTCCGAATCCTTTGGGATACAGACGAAACAGTTATGGCTGCTATCAAAACCGAATTCATGAAATGTTTGCTCTGTTGGGAGAGATAACACGAGGAACCACGTTCTACAACGAATGTTTTAAGTAAGTAAAGTTATCGAGTGTACGGCGAAAGATGAGAATGAGACAGAGAAGTGGAGGCATACATGTGGAGGCATGTATGTGGACTTTATATGCATTCCCATGCGCTCTCCTGGTGCGCAATGAAGTTGGAAAGTTTGTGAGCCACCATACACCCTGATGTCGAATGACACAATTCAGCACGGTACTCTTCGAGAAACTCAAGGTCGCTCGCGTAATTCTGAAAATGTTCATGCCACTCGCGAATATGACACAGCTTTTGCGAATGAATCATGTGTATTACATGTTCCTAGCATAGCACTTTCTGAATTCAGGTTTTCCGGCTCTCAATGCCCGGGCACACTAACAGTGTACTCGCTCTGATTATTTTTCATCCTACTTTCTGTAAACTGTCTTGTCGTACTTCATCATTGCGTCTTTATTTTCGCTGCCCTCATGGGCTCTCTAATATCCGCTATGGTCGGTGCAGTTGCTCGAATGATCAGAAGTGCCCCACTTAGACGGAGCAGAAGCTCTTTCTAAATATCATTAGGCCCCATGCAGTCTGAAACCCGTATTTATCTTTGTCTAATTTTAATGGCAATGCTCTCCGTCTTCATCTCTGCAGTGTTCCACAAGGCTGTACAGAGATATGCGAGCATCACTACGACTACTACTGAATGCTCCAATGCCGAGTTGATGTTTCTAAATGCAATGAGATTGGAGCTGCAAAACCGGTTCCATTAATCCTTCTTGCCTTCTAACTTTTCTTCTTCGCAGTTTGCCGCCTGGAGGCGCACCTTAGCCCGAGTTGAACATTGATGCACTTACCGAATTTAACTAGAACGAGGGGAACAAAAAAGTGAGTATCAAGCCCTACATGCATCTTTTGATTGAATGTTATCAAAACCGAGGATCTAGGGCGATATTTCTCTCCGTGTCACGCGATAGCTGTGAACGCGTGGCGTGGATATCCGTAAGTCCGTAAGTCCGTTAAACCCCTAGGCCCCTGTTCGGGTCACGTCCTGCAAGATCTCATCCACTATGACTGCTCTTACGTTGCCCTTGCCATTGATGTCACTCATCGTAAGCGTCGTCAACATTGAGGGTAATTGTGAGGGGCCAAAATGTCGGAACCAGTCTTTGGGGGTCACTGGGGTGATGCGTTGTCACATTTGGCCTGGTTCAACATGCGTCTTTGATGTTGCGAAAGATTAACTTTACGATAAGATAATTGACTTCTAATACGTCTTGGCACTATCACAAAGTTTAACCTTCTTTTGATTGACATCTCAGAGGTCATACGCATTTTACTTGGCAGGCACGAAGCACGTGCATCTGGAGCCACAATCGCGACCTTTGCGAGATGCAGATCGCTCTGGACGAACTCGTTGGGATGGATATTACGAATCCCATGGAGTCTTCTCTCTTCTAGAACATGCACGACTGGATCGGTAATACGGTAGTTCGGACAGGAATTCCGGGGATTCCCGCGCGCCACAGAACATCCCGGTCCGGGACTCTAGGGCGGGTCCGGCGAACTGCCGAAGCGGGTCTTTACCGACCTGATTCCACCCGCATCCACGCCAATACCACGCTTCTCCCGCCGGATGATGACGATGCATTTTAGCCAGCCACGAACCGAAGAACCACTTTCAGTCAGCGCTGACGAGTGTGGGGGCGTTCGAATGTTTCGAACCACAATTGCAAGCTGCCAAGAAGGAAGAGTAAACATGATCCGAGCCTGCCGGAAAACATCACAAGATGAACCAGGAGCGTGGTGAAAGAAACCAAACCGCCTTACATCCGAGGAGAAGTAATACGGATCTCTGCTTCAGGAATAGGTTCTTTTGTTTGATTGGTCGGATTATGAAAAAACTGACTGTCGAATCCAACAAGCTTACTCTCTCGAGCAGTAAGACGGCGCGTCATCCTAAATCCGAATGGGTGCCTAGAGGTTAAGTTATGCTTTGGCCGCTAATGATAACCAGGAATGATTAGAGGAACCTGTACGCAACCCAGAATAAAGTGCCCGTTCGTCGCATTTGAAATCTCCATTTGTGGAGATACAAGCTAAAGCCTGCCTCCGAGCTACCCACCAAGAAGCATGAGAGCATCGGCGGTCACGATGTCAGGTACCCACCTAAACGTCTTTCTGGGCCCATGGTGGTGTCCTCCCGGGTATTCCATGACCGCATCTTCCGCCTTTCTACAACGATGCTATCCGATGGCAGCTCTCTGGATCCCCACCCGATGGCAAAAAACGCCGGGCACATGATGGAGCTAGGAAGTGGTTGGCATTTCTCAAGGAATCTCACCCAATGCTGAGCGTTCGCTAGTTCAGGCATGCCGGAAGGCGCCGGATTGGCACGCTCGGATATCCACATAGCTCTACGGCTGCCCAAAGTACCAATTCAAATTCTGAATCTTGATAATACGAGCATCAGCAAACAATGGTGTGGGGATGACGTTACTCCGAGAAAGTATTTAAACAGGTCAACGGCCCCGTTGATGCTCAGTCACATTTCATCGTCCGACTGCAGTGAGAGAAGGCTTTTTTGAAGGAAAACCCGGCAACAGGCTTCACTCAACATGCATACCTTCAACTTGGTAGCGTCTCTAGCGGCCTCTGTCGGTCTGGCCAGCGCTTCGTCGGTCCTCCTACAGGGCGGCACTATCGTCGACTTCGATGACCAGACCAACTCGCTCAACGTCGTCCGCAACGGCTCCCTCCTAATCACCGACGACCGGATCACGGCTATCTACACCGCCGAGGAGGCTGCAAACCAGCCCGTCAGTGGTAACGACACGCAGGTTGTGGACGTGACCAACAAGATTATCACTCCCGGCTTCGTCGACACTCATCGCCACGGATGGCAGACTGCCTTCAAGACTATTGGTTCTAACACGTCCCTCGCTGAGTACTTCACCCGCTACGGAGAATATGCCGCTGCTGGCCTTCTCAGTGCCGACGATGTCTACATCGGCCAGTTGACAGGGCTTTATGAGGCTCTCAATGCTGGTGTCACTACGACTCTCGACCACGCTCACCATACGTGGTCCAACGCCACAGCAGAGGCCGGACTGAAAGGCAGCATCGACAGCGGTGCAAGAGTCTTCTGGTCTTATGCCTTCCATAACGTTACCAATTACACAGTCTCTGAGCAGCTTGCGAATTTCAGAGACATCGCAACTAGGGCCGAGTTTGATGGGTCTGCCACAAGCCTTGGCGTTGCCTGCGACTTCTTCGGTCCCGACCCGGTCCTTGACCAGGTCAATGCTGTCGTCGACCTTGCCAAGTAAGATTTCTCACCACGAGACTGAAGCCTCGAGGCATTTGCTAACATGCACTCAGGGAGTTCAACGTCTCGGTCATTACAACTCACAGTCTTCAGGGGCCTTGGGGCAGTAAGTTATCTATCAAACCTCCTCTCAAACAAGTCCAAGTCACTGACATCTCCTCTAGTTACCAACAGCCCTGAAGACCTTCATGCAGTCGGCGCCCTCAACACCAGCATCCCCGTCGTCTTCTCTCACGCTTCATTCTTGACCTACCGCGGCGCCTCTCTCCTCCGCTCCACAAACCAGTACATCTCCATCACCCCAGAATCCGAGATGCACTACGGCCACACCCACCCCAACAGCCACCTGATTCAGGACCAAGCCGCCATCGGCGTCGACACCCACTTCACCTTCTCCACCGACATCCTCACCCAGGCTCGTCTCTGGCTGCAGAGCACCCGCCGCTTGCTCTACCAGCAGGTCCTGGCCCACTGGAAGGTCCCGACCTCCACACCCATGACCGCTAATCAGGCCTTCCTCATGGCCACCCGCAATGGCGGCCTCGCCCTGCGCCGTCCCGACCTGGGCGTCATCGCAAAGGGTGCCAAGGCGGATGTTGTTGTATGGGACGGTGAGAGCCCTGCGCTGCTTGGCTGGATCGACCCTGTCGCTGCAGTCATTCTTCACGCCAGCGTTGGTGACATCCAGCACGTCCTTGTTGACGGAAAGTTTGTGAAGAAGGACCGCGAGCTAGTGGCTGCCAACTACTCTAGTGTCCGTACAGAGTTTCTGAATAGCGCGCGCAAGATCCAGGATACTTGGAGGAACATCCCATTCGAGGCTCTGGACGGGGCGTTCAGCGCGTCTGGCGCTGCTTATGAAGCTCCACTTGAGGTTGATGTTCTCACTGGTGAGCAGTCGGGATACGGAACGACGTTTGTCTAGTTCGTTCGGCAAAAAGAACACCAGCGTGTTACGTGCACATAGGACATAATGTTTAAATTATAATTAAAATTAATCCAAGATTTCGTAGTGACTCACTGAGGTGACTGCTGAAAGATCATGTATCATAATAATTTTGGGGCATAAGCCAAATTTGTATTTTGAGATTAATGTAATAGGTTTAAATGGTAGTTGTGCTGTTGAAGACACGAGTAGTCAAGGGGGGATGTGTTGAAACACTAATCCGTACCTTGCGAGCTGTACTCGGCATGGTAGAGGAAATCCGATACGCCCTCTCTACTGGTCCTCCTTCTACTCTTCACGAAAAGCCTCTGCCTTCTTTAGTTGCCGTTGACCATGCCAGGCTCCCTGCCGTTGATGTATTTCCAGAGTCTGCTTTCATTGGCCACCTTGTTCTTGTCGCCTTTGCGGAGGCCTCTGCCCTGGACCATGGCGGCATCAAGGAAGTGCTTGTTGCCCCAACCGTCCTTGCTCTCAACGACACCAGTCAAAGTGTCGTTAAGAGGGAGGATTCTGTCCAGGTAGTGCTGGTTAAGCAGGTGGCCCCACTTGCCCTTGTTCTTGAAGAGAAGTCCGCTGAAGTTGTTCTGTCTGGCGGTAACACCGAGAATGCTGCCAATGGCAGTTTCATGCGATTGACGCTTGTGGAGGTGGAACTTCTTGGAGTGGTTCTTGGCCTCCTTGGCCTGCTTGGAAATCAGAGACTTGAAGTGGGTGACACCCCATTCGGCGACAAAGTCACCGTCGTTGGCGTAGTGCTCAATATGTCCGACGACGTACTCGCCCTCGTCGATCTTGGGGTTGTTGAAGTGGTTGGCAGCGTTTCCAAAGGTGTAGATCTCAAGCTTCTTGAGGTCCTTGCGGGCGCAGTGGGAGAGGAGCCAGTCGAGGATGATGCTGCCCTCAAGGCCGCCCTGAGAGTGAAGAATGAGAACGACCCGATCCTTGACGGGATTGGTGAGAGCCCCGGCGATGAGAGCGTAGCACTCTCTGGTGTCGGTTGTGCCGAAGTAGAAGCATCTCTCCACGAGGCACTGGATGGTGTCGAAAATGATTCCAGCTCTGTCACAAATGTGTTAGACCGTGGATTTCTGATCGCCGGACTTCAAGTTACTCACGTCTTGTTGTGGACACCAGTGATGGGACGATGGAAGGTTCTCGACAGTCTGTTCAGGTTGCCCTGCAGCCAGTGGGAGCTTGTATCTTATCAGTACGATCATCGAATTGGTTTCGTTTGAAGATGGGCTGCTTACCCAACAGAGACACCGTTAAGGAAGATCCACTCCTCCTTCTCGTACTTGGCCCAGTTGTCGGATTCGGTGGTCCCGTGAGACTTGAGAATACCCTTCGTGACACCAGAGTTGAGAGGAATGCAGGCGAGGTAGTTGATGGTAACGAAGGCGATGGCGTAGGGCAGGACCGCGGTGAACGGGAAGGTTGCGATGAAAGGGAGAGACAAAAGAAAGGCGAGTTGAGTGGCGATCAGGACGGTGTGAGCAGCCAGACAGATGAGGTTTCCGACGGAGGGGTAGAGCTCGTCCATCTCACCAGAGGGGTAAAAAGGGTCGATGAAATGTTGGAACCTCTTCTGGAAGTAGGTGACGGCGCGGTTGACGGCGCCAAATCGAATCATGTGAGGGACCCAGGCCTGATCCAGAGCCGGGTAATTGGTTTTGAGGCGAGGCGGGTAGGCCAACGGGAACACGACGACAGGGAGCTTGTAAGCCTTCAGGATGAAGAGCTTCAAGTCATCCCACAGAAGCTGCCATGGTGGGGCTGTGTGGTATGCCGGCAGCTCGACTTCGACCTTCTCAACTTGCGTTTCACCATCCTTGTCGACGGAGGTGACCTCGATGGTCTCTTTGATGTTGTTGGTCTCCACGGTCTCGTAGACCTCGACGCTGTACGCCTGTGCTGCGGGTGAGGCCATGGTGATGTTGTCGTGATCTCGGATCACTGAGAGAACAACTGAAAACTGAACCAGATGAGATTGGGAGCCTGACCGAACACAAATAAGCTCCGTGGCAGAATCTCAGCTTATATCATGGACGAGCCGTTGGCATATGCTCCTTCTTCACATGCAGTTTCTTGTTTGTGATTATTGTCGTGAGACCTTTCGATACCGATCCCCGCAAGCAGGATTCCTTCCAACGCCCAACAAGAATTGAGTTCGAGTTGATGTCTCTCAATCACATGCAAAATGTTACCGTGTATGCGCAGAAAGTTTGTGAAACGTGAGACCAGATACTCGGTGATCGGCCAGTGTCATTTCTGAAGTCTTACCCTGATGGCCCAGTGGCGCCTGGCACAGCTTTCGAACACAGCGTGGTAAATATGCAGAGTCATTGCTATGTTTCTGCCTGTTGTTGTATTTTGATGCTGACAACTTGGCATGGAATTTCTTCTGGAATGTCCTGCCGCTTTGGGGTACTGCTAGTGTGAGAAGCTGATAAGGCAGGCGTGACAGGGGGAGTCGATCATCTGCATTGGGCATCCTTATCGCACAAGATGCGACTTTGTGTCTCGGATTTGGTGTCTCGGGGACTCCCGCCTATCAATCGTACACATCTCAACCTGCAGCTTACGTGTTGATACCAATTTGATGTTGATGCTGGATACGAGTCCGAACTCGGGGTGGAAGTAAATACGACGAGCTCTGTATCCCTTCCATCGACAGGTTTCTCAAGAGTGCCCTTACTGAAGCCAAATAGTAGATGATTGTCCGAACTTTTGATGGCATTCCATGTCCTTGGGTCTTTCTGTTCTTATTCCCGGCTGCCTCGTAATGTGACACCAACATTCTGCAGTCGATCCCACGTGATCAGTTGTGCACCATTCCTCGAGCATCACAACTAGTACACGTGAGATTCTTACCAGTGCTACTACCAGTGTCACCAAAAAACCCCGCAATTTCGGCCACAACTTGGCAGCAGAAAAAAGTGGCAAGGCTGTTTTTTTCCACTGCAACAATCAAGAGTAATCATGACTCGGATTCCATCGGCTCCGCTCTAACCGGTCGTAGCCGAGTCCGTCTCTCATCCCGCGGCCGCCGCACTCAAAAGCCACGTTAATGGCGTGCTCCAACAGCTGTTTACTCCGCATGTCCAACTTCCGAGGGTAGTCTCAGCCACACCGGAATCTTAACTTCATTCCGAACGCGCCTCCGCCTCCGTAAAGAAGTCGGGGAAGAGCAACAACAACAAAGCTTGAACGTTTGTGGTTTGTTTACTCTCTCAGAATGACCATGGTCACTCAATCCACGCTGCCCGCGCCGCAGGACGATTTGAAGACGGTCGTCGAGAGTCGGACTCGGGAGTGGCACTTTCATATCTACTTTCTGCTGCAGTCGCCCACGGAGACTGCGCGGGCGCTTGCGCTTCGTGATGCAGTGCTAAGGCTTCGCCGCGATGGTAACACTGGTCTATCACGATGCTCATGTACCAGCCACTGACGTTGATGCACAGGCGCGTTCGTCGCTGTCCCACTGTTCCGAGTGAATGAGTATCCTATCGGCCCTCACCCCGCCGGATCATACGAAAGTTTGTAGACCTGAAATTACATCAGCGCATCTGTGTTCAGGCTAATCAGTCGTAACTAGTCTGGGTTCCCGACTCATCATTCTCAGATGTCTTCTACTATTTGGCATCAAATCGGGGCAACCTAAGGTGCGTAGATAACCAGACAAAGAGGCCAATCATCACAATGCCCAAGTCTGTATCTAATACCGTGCTCAGTGTCCTTGTTCACCCTTTGACATCAAAACAACGCCGGGATCATGAGTCCAGTAATGCCTGGATGGGAAATCCGTGGCCCATTTACTTAGATAGTCTGCCCCGCGACGGTGAAATCCCGCTCCAGTACCCCGAATTAGGCCTTGGCTGGTCAACATCGCCTGAGCAAGAGATTTCCCTGGAAGAAAGGCGGAAACGAGGAGCAGAGCTTGAAGCACTTCTAGCCAACGATTCGGAAGCTGCGCCGGCTCCCAAGGACTAGTATGATGTTTGCTCAGATTGACAGTACATTCGGAACGACTTGACTACATCTCCCGCACGTCCGAATTAGTCCCTCCCAGTACACTCAAATATTCAAATCAATGAAATATCCGTTAAGGAGAAGCTGTCATCGCCATGTAACTTCAAGTCTCTCGAACCACATCCTATTCGCTTAAACTTATTGTGGCCCACTTCCTCGAGAGTGAGAATATCAGTATGCCGTTGCCCCACGACAAGTGCCCAGCAATCCCGTGTCACTGCGCGGTCACGGTCCATGGTAATAGTCCCTCCGTAACGCGTCTCTCCTTCGAAGGCTAGACTGCCTTCGTGAACTGCATCACTACGCTTGGGCCTATTACCAGGAGCATATCGCATCTTAGCGATGAGTCCACGCAGCTTCAAAGCGCCTTCAACCTTTGGGGCCGCGAAGTCGTTCATTGCAACATTCATATCGATCCGCAGGACTTGGATGGAGGCATGCGGCTGCCAGGGTACCTTTCCTACCCTCATAGGGAACAGTATTTCCCCATCAATGCTAGCCCAACTCCAACTTGGAGCCCGCGGCTTCGCTGGTAACCGCAGGTCCGGAGGAAATTCCTTACCATACGCACCAGACGTACGCGCTCGCCACAAAATGCCTTGGAGGGTTTCCTCTGCCCAAAGCCCAGCAACATACGAACCGCCAATTTTGGTCGATCCGAAACGACTAGCAACACCTGCCAGCGCTGGCAGCTTGTCTTCGCCAAAAGTCAGACTTCTTTTGCTAAACTCTTCCACAATTGTATACCAATGTTGCAAGCTCGTCGTAGTTCCGAGGGATAGGTTTTTACGCGCTACCTCAAAGCTCATGGGTGTGGCGTAGTAGTATGCGTCATGAGGAATCCCGTCCTCTCGAGCCGTGATGGTCGGACACTCCCAATACATCTGTTCGCGTCCAATGGACAGCGTGAACTTTGATAATGCCCACTCTTGCATACACCACCCGCGGCTATTGAGGAGGCCCCCGGCGATTGCTTGGCGGTAGTCCAGTGGACGTTCGGAAAAAATGAATCCTTGGCCCAAATTGACCCTTTTATGGGACCTTGGGGCGAGGAAGCCAAGGGTGCTGCCGGCGGAGTCCAGCGCCGATATTGTAACTCTCGCGTTGCTGTAGACATTTGCCATTCTCGCTGCTTCCGTGGCCCAATCTTCGGCCGAGTCTTGTATGATGCACACGGCGTCGATCCACAAATACTGCAGGCCGAGCTCTCTAGTAAGTGTTATAGCATCGAGAAAGTTTTGCGGCAGGACGTGCATTGGAAGAGCATTCTTATAGGCGTTGAGATTGTCCTTTGTCATCTTGCACGGAATATTTCCGCCCCAACAGTGGCTTAGAGCTGCGTAGTGCCCAGAAACGCCATTCGTGATGAGTAGGGAGGCAGGAGCTCCGGAGATGGTCCCGACATCAATAATTCTTGTTGGCAATTCGCGTGCCGGTGTTGAGCAGGCTGAGTGGTTCTCGACGCAATTCTTCATCCAGAATCGTGCGGTCTCGAACGAGTCTGACGACATGGAACTGTCCGGAATGGCTCGCGCAAAGTCAGGCATTTTCCTACTTGCTCGATCTGAAAGACAAAAGGAGGAAATTTCTCCTTCATAAGGACGTGTAATGCTTATATCGAAAGCGCAACCATGAGTTGTCTGCCACCGATCGTCCAACGACGTCGCCTGGATGGAGCGTTTCGGTTCCGTTTCTACTGAATAATATCCAGCGAAAAGAGCGAGATGGCGGATCAGCAGCCGATGTTCCGGGCGATGGCCGTCCCAGATGGCGCGGCACATGGCACAGCTCTGAGCGCTATTTTCGAGATTACTGGCAGTCTTGTAGTGAATGAAGCCAGGGCCATGGCCGGAAAAGCCATGAGTTTTCCCCGAGATCATTTTCTCTGTCCACATACCATCCTTGGGAAGCTCATAGCGGCGGCCAAAGTCTGAGGCTATGAGATCGTCCGTAAATCTCTGGCAGAGAGCGCAGAGCGGATCTCGTGAATGGTCGCCAGTAGGGTCCATGGCGATGTCCGGATTTTTACAAATTACCCCCAACACCTGCTGTAGGCGAGGCTAGATCTGTGTTGTAGAATGCAAAACAAACAACAACCTGTGTTCTTTGTGATATCAGGATTCAGGAATAAGCATGAGGCTGGCTGGTGGTTTGTGAGTGATATGCCAGCCTGATTCGGCATCCTCAGGGCTTACGGACCGCAATTGCGAAAACCTGTGATTGGTTGCAAAGACCACTTTATGCAATACCCTTGCATCCCACAACCGACTTTGCCGTGGATTGAAGGCTCGAAGTTACACTGAGCCTTGTTGAAAACCGATTGTATTTGAACACGTAATGTAACTATGGAGGAAGAACGGACTCGGATGATGTCTCGGCCTAGAACTATCTCCGGTCGTCATCTTTGAATGTCAAATTGATGGTCAACTTTCCTTTTTCTTTTGCATATTTGTGAGCAATTAGAACCGTTCGTCTGTAAGCCTTGTTTTCACCAAGGCGAAACGTATTAGGAATGTCCAACTACCAAAGGATAGAGAAGCGGGACCTTACTCTAGGATTTCGGATTCGGTTCCGTATCTGGCGTACCCGAAAAGTACGAGAGATCGGATCATGGTGGGGTTCAATGTCGATAGGTACAGCAGAGCCTTTAAGTGGCGGGATCTAGCCAGTCTCTCCCATGCGCTGGTTGGGCCGCTGCGAGTGAGCCCGGCGATCGTTGGAATCGGGGTCCAACAAGGGTGGTCACCAAGATACGCTCAAGAAGGACCGGTGCATGCAACGTCGCTATGTTGCCCCGACGGGATTCGCAGCACTTGATAGGCCAGGAATGCCCAATCAGAAGTGGGCGAAAATTCAAGGAGACAATCTGGGGTCTCGGCCGACAGCACAAGCAGCATC